GTTCCCGAACCTGTGCCCAGCCGACACCCCTATGCCCGAGCCCCACACACCATGTAGTAATAGTGGGAGGAGGTGGTCCCTTGGATGCCCACAGTGCGCAGGTTCAGGGTGAGGGTGTCCCCCACGCGAGGGGGCCGGTGGTCCAGCGCCTCAATGGACAGGAAGCCAGAGCTTCGTGCGCGTGGGGCTTGCACGTTGAGCCCGGCTTGGGCTGGGTAGGGGGAGCCTGCTGACACCTGGAGAGAAGGGCAGGGTCTATGCCAAGGATCCAGGTGTGCCACCCCTCCTCTCCCCAACTCAGCCGGGAGCGCTCGGGAGACGACTCGTGGACCCTCCCTCCCCACCCCAACTCTAGAAGCGCTACCAAGAGCCGAAGTTCTGTGGTGGCCGGCGGGACGTGGATGGAAATGCTGACTTGGCCAATCCCGTTGGTGTTCTGTTGAAAGTCGAGGACTTTCGAGTCAGAGCCAGAGGACAGTGTGGCAGAAACCTTGACAGGAACGTCAGAGGCTGTGGAGCCTGCCGTTTCTCGGACCACGGCCTGGAGGGAGAGTGATGGGAAAAAAACAAACAAACAAGAAACCCGGCATCAAGACTGTGCGGCCCACACCTCTCCCCTCCAGTCCTGCCCTTCCAGGAAGAACCTGCAGCAGGAACGGGGCTCCAGGCACAAGATGCTGCTTGGTGTTGCTGAGATCCAAGGAGAAGGGAGAGGACACAAAGCGCCAGGATGTGAGCTCCGCCTCCTCCATCTCTCCCCCTGCAAGACAGAGGGTGGGGAGGTGGAACCCAGGAAGAGAGGCAGGAGTCAGAGCATCACTTCATCTCTGCCCGTGCGTGTGCGCGCGCGTGTGTGTGTGCGTGTGTGTGCATGGATGCGCACGTGTGTGTGTGTGCGCGCGTGCATGTATGCGCGCGTGAGTATGTGTGCGTGGATGCACGTGCGTGCGTGCATGCATGGATGCATACGCGTGTGTGTGCACATGCATGCGTGTGTGTGCCCGCGTGTGTGTGTGTGTGTGTGTGACGTGTCTATCAGTGGGTGAACAGACGGGTGGGGCAAACGATTGCACAAAGGAGATGGGGACATGGACAGGACCAGAGAGAGCGGTCTCGGGTCTTTCTTGCTTGTGTGCCTGAGATGAGCCGGCTGACATCGGGACTAGAAGAGCTGGGCTGATGGTGTAGTTTGCATTTCAGGTGTCCCCTCAGCGTCCTCAGGGGCAAGAGGTTGAGGTGACAGCGAGGAGAGCCACCCACCTGGAGACTCGATGACGGCCGCGGCGGCGTAGAGGCGCAGCCCCTCCAGGTCTCCGATCCCCATGTTGACTTTATCCAGGGCAGCCCGAAACTTGTCCTTCGAGATGGACACCTGACACTGGCCGTTCGCCAACTGAGACGAGGACGACAGGACGTGAGGGAGGGGCCCCTCCTCTGCGCAGTCCCCTCCCCGCCACCACCTTGGTCCCTACCTTGGTCTGGGTCTCCAGGCCTCGAAGGAAGGTCCTCTCCCCCTGCTCATTCATGAGTGCAAACCGAGCGTACGCCACGCCCTGCACGGGCTTCCCGTAGACATACCTGTCCCCGCAGGGAGATGGGAAGAGAGCCGAGAGCTGGGGAAATAACTCAGCAGGCAAGTTGTTTACCACACACGCACAAAGACCTCCTTCCGCACCCCAGAATCCATGTAAAATAAAGCCAAGTGTGGCAGCATCCCCTTGGAAATCCAGCAGTGGGAAGGCAGAGGCAGGGGGATTCTCAGGCTGCCTGGCCAGCCAGCCTAGCCCAGGCAAGTGAGTTCCGTGCCAGTGAGAGACTACATCGTGAAGGAGATGGGCAGAGTTCCTAAGGATGTCCCCTGAGGATGTCCCCTGGCCTCCACAAACATGTACACACACGCCCCTGCGCACATAGAGACACACGCAAAGCGCTCAAGAGGCAGGGCAGATGGATCTCTGTGAGTTCAAGGCCAGCCTGGTCTACAGAGTGAGTATACAGTCAGGGCGAGACTCTGTCTCAGAAAAAAAAGAAGGAAAAGAAAAAGGAAGGGAAAGGAAGGGGAAGGAAGGGAAGGGAAGGAGAAGGGAAGGAAGGGGAAGGAGGGGAAGGGAAGGAAGTGGAGGAAGGGATGGGAAAGGGTAGGGAAGGGAAGGGGAGCGCAGGGAGCTTTGCATGGTGAGTCCTGGTGCGGGACTAGATGACAGTGGTTACCTGGCCTGGATGTCTAGCTGTATTTCATCCAGGTGGCTGGGCACCGTCAGGATATATGGCTTCCATGGGGTGATCTTCACTTCAAAGTTGGGAAGAACTGAATAACGTAAAGAGATGAGCAAGCTGGCCAGGCACTAGGGAGAGAGCCCTCCAAAGCTCCCCCCCTGGGGCTGCCCCGCCTCACCCTCGTCCCCCCACCCCCAACCCCCCCACCCCCTGACCCCCCACCCCCAGCTTCAGCGGCTGCCCCGCCTCACCCTCGTCTCCCCACCCCCAACCCCCCCACCCCCTGACCCCCCACCCCCAGCTTCAGCGGCTGCCCCGCCTCACCCTCGCCCCCCACCCCCCACCCCCAACCCCCCCGCCCCCCAACCCCCCGGCTTCGGCACTTACCGTACTTCTTCACTTCAAAGTGGGTGCTGCTATTGGACTGCAGGCTGTCCGCGAACCTCGCTGAGATCTTCCAGGTCCCCGGCCTGAGAATGGACAGGGGGGAGAGCCGTCTGTGGGCAACCCACCCAGAGACAGCCCGTCACCTGAGTCCTCCAGGAGAGGCTTGGGGGGGCGGCACAGGGTCAGAGCATCCGGAGCGTGACCCTGTGTGTACCAGAGGTGGACATGCCAAGGCAATCAGAACTTGGGGTGGTGTAGATGGTGGGGTGCGGGATGCCGCGAGGGGAGGAGGCTCACTCTGAGATGTCTGGGATCATGAAGTTATCCTGGAAGATGGATGTGGGAGCAAATATTTCCTTCTTCCGTACACGGAGGCCATCAGAGTTCTGCAAGGGGAGTCAGTGTAGTCAGGTGGGAGATCACATCAGCGCTCGGGGGAAGGGGGGCCCGGAAGGTCAGAGGTCAGGCACTCACCTCCACCGTGACTGTGAGGGTGTCGGTGGACGGGCGCATCCTGTGATCCAGTGCAAAGACCCGGTACCGAACTAAAGAGTGGAGGAGGAGGGGTAAGAGCCCCTGTGCAGAGGGACGGGGACCACTGGGGGAGACGACGGGCACTGTCCATGGAGCCGGACCTTACACAGAGGGCATCAGACACGCCCTGAGCAGCCCGGGAGAGAGGCAAGCAGAGGCCCTGAGGCCAGAGGCTCACCCTGCTGGCCAGGGTTGTAGATTGGCTGGTCAGTCTGCACAAAGATGTGTCCACGGCGGGGAGAGAACAGCAGGTTGACTCCTTGAATGTCCGTGCCCTTGGGCATTATGTTCTTCAGCCACGGAGACTGGACCACCAGCTGGACGTGGGGGGCTCTGCGCAGGTTAAAGAGGCCACAGTCCCTCACGTTTTCCAGTGGAACCTGTCGGGAGAGGCAGCGGAGACTGTCTTAAGAAGAAAGGGGGAGCCGGGCGGTGGTGGCGCACGCCTTTAATCCCTGCACTCGGGAGGCAGAGGCAGGAGGATCTCAGTGAGTTCAAGGCCAGCCTGGTCTACAGAGCGAGTTCCAGGACAGCCTCCAAAACAATACAGACACCCTGTCTCGAAAAAACAAACAAACAAAAAAGAAGAAGAAAGGGGCACAGAGCCCAAGACAGGGACCCCGAGACCACTGGGCTGGGAGAGAGGAGGAAGGCAGAGAGAAAGATAAGGCTTGAGAAGCAGCAGGAAGGCCAGTCATGATGGGGCGCGGCAGTAACCCCAACACTTGGGGGCCAGAGGAAGGCTGCTGAGCATTTACGGGCAAACTAGGTTACACCATGGAACCCTGCTTCAAAACCAAAAGCAAGCACAAAGGCAATGGAGGAACCGGGTAAGTCTCAGCGCCCGGGAGGCTGAGGCAGGAGGATTGCCATGAGTTCAAAGCCAGCCTGTTGCATAGCAAGCTCCTGTCTGTAACTAAGCAAGCTATGCCTCAGGAAGGCCTGAGACACAGCAGGGGTGTGGGCACTGGTTACCTCGAGGTTGAGAAGTACAAAATCATTTCCTGAGCTGAGGGTGAAATCCGTCTTTGGGGAGCAAGGGCCTCCGTTTGGGTTTCGCAGGAGCACAGACCCTTTTACTTGCTGTCCTGCGGGGGCGTCCTGGAGCTGCAGGCCCACTGACAGAGGGACCCCCAAGTTAACCACTGAGGGAGAGAACAGGAGCAGCCTGGACGGACAGTGAGGGTGCTTCAGACCCAGGCTCGCCCCGCCGCCCCACCGCCCCTCACCCGTCCCACCCAAGCCCAATGTCTCGCCCCAGGACCTGGGCTTCTGCAGGGACAAGGCGAAGACGCTAAACACCCAGAGCAGCCCCCAGAGGAGCCGCATGGCTGCAGGGTCCAGGGGAGGTCAGGCCTGTCTGCTCTGAGGTCTGCTCCCTTCTGGTCAACCTAGGGCTGGGGCAGTTTGACTCTGGACCTTGCTCCTCCCCTCACCCCGATGAGCCGGGAAACCACGTGACAGCCAAGAAACGCAACTGGCCCTAGGCCCAGTGCTGGGGAAGCAGCCCAGGCACCAGGGTCTCTGAGGAAATCTTGGCCCCAGGATGAATCTGCTTGTTTACCCATCCCCGGTACCGGGCACCTCCCTTAACTGCGCGCTTGCCCGTGTGTGCTCGCCAACACGGCACATGGACAGGGCAGTTAGTTCCTGACAGGAACGGCTTCAGAGACCCTTGCCTCTTACATTCAAGACTCAACTAGTCTTCTGCTTGGGATAGGCTCTAACAGAAAGCCTGTGGTTCAGAAGATGGGGTACACCCTCACCCCCACAGGGAAAATGGCCTGAGTAACTTGTTCTCTCTCTGAACTATCCACAGAGACACCTGCACACATATCACACAGAGGACACTGAGAGGCCCGCACAGGCACAAGAATTTTATTTGGCAGTTTCCACCCGACACGGGGCAGTTTCCTGCTCCCTTCACTAGTGTCCCCAGCAATCCCACCTTCCGGTCCCCTCGGCACGGCTCCTGGCTCCGCACCCACAGAAGTGCAGAGCCGCGGCGCACACGGCCCACTCAGGGTGGGGCCCCAGCTTGCAGCAGCAGGGCCTGGCACCCATCCGGGTGACCACTCAGCCGTCCAGGAGCAGAGCTTCCAGAAGCCTCACACAGTGAAGTGAGCTGAAGAATCCAAGAGTCGACTCCTCACGTATCTGGCAGGCGAAGGAGGGTTCCAGAACTGGTGGAGACGCTGTCAGAGAGAGACAAGACTGGAGCCAGCTGCCCAAGCCCGGTGTGGAAACTGAGAACTGACCACCGTGTGCTCCCGAGTCCCAGAAAAGATGACAGGAAGCAGGCTATGACAGGAAGTGGGCTTCTCCAGGGAACGAAGCGTGACGTGGGGCGCCCAACCTCGGGTCATGGGATTGCCCTGAGATCCCCTAGACTCACCAGTCCACCAGCTGGGCCCCGATGAGGTCGTGCACGTGGTAGGCAAGGCCGAGCCGCACTGCCGACGGGGGCCTGCGGCCCAGGAGCTCCGACAGCAGAAGCTCACGGTACTTGGCCTTCCGCACCATGCTGAGTACGGCCTGGCGCCCTGGGGGAGGTGGCCCAGGAAAAGGAGGGGTGAGTTGGACTTGGAGACCTAAAGCCGCCCAAAGGGTGTTCTTGAGGCACCGAGGACTCTCTGTGGGCAGCTCACCTTTAATAAAGCACTTGATGAATCTCCCGGCTCCAGGCACGGCCAGCCACCAGCTCCCAGCGTCTCGGACGGTGAGGACTCCAGCATTTACCAGGTGCCTGTAGGTGGCGGGAGGTCAGAGCAGTGCAGCCAGAGCGCCGGGAACCGCACCCACCCTCCCCTGCTGCTGCTGTGTGCACACCAAGTGTCCAGAGACACAGGCAGCCAAGGCAGGGGCTGCTTACCCTGCTGCCCTGCCACCCGCCTGAGCGCCTCTCCACATTTTCATCCCGTAACCTCGGTGTGAGAGAGGGGTGTGTGCGTGTGTGTGTGTGTGTGTGTGTGTGTGTCATCCCGTAACCTCGGTGTGTGAGAGAGGGGCGTGTGTGTGTGTGTGTGTGTGTGTGTGTGTGTGAGAGAGAGAGAGAGGGAAAGGGAGAGGTATGTGTGTGTGTAGACGCACAAGCACACAGAGGCCACAGGTTCAAATCAAATATCTGCAATCATTCTCAACTTTTTTTTTTTTTTGGTTTTTCAAGACAGGGTTTCTCTGTGTAGCCCTGGCTGTCCTGGAACTCACTCTGTAGACCAGGCTGGCCTCAAACTCAGAGATCAGTCTTCCTCTGCCTCCCGAGTGCTGGGATTAAAGGCGTGCGCCACCAATGCCCAGCTTCTCAACCTTTTTTAAAAGGACATCTTTATTGCATGTGTATGGGTGTTTTGATTACGTTATGACCACACAAGCACGCAGTGTCTGTGGAGGCCAGAAGAGGGAGCTGGATCTCCTGAGAGGGCAGTCACAGACAGCTGTGAGCCACCATGTGGGTGCTGGGAATCAAACTCCACGACCTCTGGGAGAGCAGCCAGTGCTCCTAACCACTGAGCCAACTCTCCAACCCCATTCCTCCTTGCGTTTTTTTCTGAGACAGGGTCTCTCTATGTAGCCTTAGCCGTCCTGGAACTCACTATGCTGACCAGGCTGGCGTCAAACTCAGAGATGCACCCGTCTGTGGCCACTGAATGCTGGGATGAGAGGTGTGCGCCACCACACCTGACCTGACCTTGCTTTTGAGTCAGGGTCTCTCACTGAACCTGGGGCTCACTGGTTTGGCTACACTTTGCTGCAGGGATCCAGTTGCCATCGCGCTTCCAGCACAGGGGTCACAGACACCTGCTGCGCTCAGCTGTGGCTGCTGGGACTAGAATTCACTCGGTCCTTGTGCTTGTTCAGCAAGCCTGTCACCAAGCCAGCCAGCTCCCCAGCCCTGTGGTGACTGCTTCCTTAGGAGGCTTCCCTGAGCACAGCCTGCAATGTGCCTGAGGAGTGAGGGTTAGCTCAGGGCCCACCATGACCTATGACCTCCCCCCACCCAGCACCTTCCCAGGGAAGATCATCCCACACACAGGGAGTTAGAAGGCATGCAGGAGGCAGGCTTAGGCGTGGCACCCCAAACCCTTCAGCACTGAGACCTTGGTTAGTACTTTTCCTCACTCTTTGTGGGGACCCCGTGAATGTGATCTTTAGGGACACTGCAGCCTCTACCATTTGTGTAGTCACAGTAAGCACTGTTAGGCACGGCTTCTGCTAGGCCTCCTGCATCTGGCAAGCCTCTCTCTCTCTCTCTCTCTCTCTCTCTCTCTCTCTCTCTCTCTCTCTCTCTCTCTCTCTCTCTCTCTCTCCTGATTCCTAGTCCAAGTTCTTCCAAGGCCTGTTATCTAACAGGGTGGAGCGCACTTCACCAGCCAGAGGGACAAGCTCACTGAGAAAGAAAGAGCTGGAGGGGGAAGGAACCAGGCTGCCAGAGGCCTGAACTATTGACCCCACAATGTCTCACGTGATCTCCGGGTCCCTGAAGCCATAAGTCTGTGTCATCTGGTCCTGCTGGAAACTAAGGTCCCCACAGGCTGGGAGCACCGAGGCCAGGAACTTCTGCACCGCCCCAGCACACGGTCGGCCATCGCAGGCCTTGAGGACCTGGAAGCAGAGTGATGTCTGTGAGCAGCGCAAACCACCCACCACCCGCCGCCGTGGCTCTTCATCCCCAGGGCAGCTTCCCTTCCTGAGTCCTCGCTCGCTTGGGTCCTTCCACTTTTCAAACCCTTTCCCTGCTCCCCGCTTGCCCCAAACTTCCTTCCTTCCCTCCCTCCCTGCTTCTCTCCCTCCCTCCCCCAGTCTCACTATTTACCAGCTCTGGCCGCTGTTTGCGAGATGTGTCCTATGGATAATGCTCCTTCTGTTGTTTCTACGCCCAACTTCCCTGCCCTCCCCTGCCCATCACTCATGCACATAGTCTGTCTGTCTGTCTGTCTCTCTCTCTCTCTCTCTCTCTCACACACTCACACACACACACACACACACACACACACACACACACACACACACGCTCACACACATACTCTGGTCCTGTAGTCGTCAGTGAAGACAATTCCATGGGCGTCCAAGTCAAAGCCCAGCTGGATGACCCTGATCTCTCCGCGCTCCTGAAGCTCCTTCTGTGGGCACAGAGATGAGAGTGGAAAGAAAGGCAGGTAAGGCAGGCTGAGCACTGGGCAGGGAGTCTAACTGCCAGTGTGTGTGTGTGTGTGTGTGTGTGTGTGTGTGTGTGTGTGTGTGTCTGTGTGTGAGTGTGTCTGTGTATCTGTGTGTGTATCTGTGTGTGTGTCTGTGTGTGTGTGTGTCTGTGTCTGTGTGTGTCTGTGTGTGTGTGTGTGTGTGTGTGTGTGTGTGTGTGTGTGTGTCTGTGTGTCGAGGGGGTGGCAGGATCAGGACGTCTACCATGAAGAGAGATGCTCGGGTGGACCATCACACCAAGCAGTCTTTCCAACCAATCACCTACGTCTCACATGCTGTAAGCTGTCAAAGAGCCAATACACACATTTTAAGACCAGACCCTTACCAGTCACTACACTAAACAGTGATGGAGGGGCGGGGCACGCCTTTAACCCCAGCACTCAGGAGGCAGAGGCAGGCGGATCTCTGTGAGTTTGAGGTCAGCCTGGTCTACAGAGCGAGTTCCAGGACAGCCAGAGCTACAAAGTGAGACCTTGTCTCAAAACAACAACAACAAAAATGTTTGCTTAAACATTAAAAAGTTCACAAGATCATCAAAGTTACCACACCAGACAGACAGAGTAAAATGAAAACAAGGACTTGGAAAGGTAACACCCAGAGGGAGTTGGCTGATCTGAGCAATGTGCCCAGCACGAGGCCAAAAACAACTTGGCCCACAGGAAGCAAAGCTCAGAAGACATGCAACCACGGGATTATCGAAAGGGTCATCTTTGAGCCGGGCTGTGGTGGCGCACGCCTTTAATCCCAGCACTCGGAGGCAGAGGCAGGCTGAAGAGCCTGGTCTTCAAAGAGAGTTCCAGGACAGGCTCCAAACCTATAGAGAAACCCTGTCTCAAAAAACAAAAATAAAGAAACAAAGTGTAGTTTTAATTACACAGCTACCCAGAGGGACGCATCCTCTCGGTGCATGGAAGGTGAGTGTATTCACGATGCTTTAGACTGTTTTTAGAGAAAACTAAAGGAGAGTTGTTTTAAGGTCCGACACGAGTGAATGATAAACGGAGGGTGCTCATTCTGTCAACCCCGGTCCTCGAACTCTGTAAGAACGCGTGCAATCGCTGTGTCACGCCCTAGCATGGCGTAGCCGCCGGTCAGTCTATCGCCGGCCAGGCAGCCGCGTCACCCGCAGAGCCTGGGCGCTAACCCTAGCGTCGCCCGTCCTCCCCCCACCCCATCGCCCCCTCCAGCCTCCTCCAGCCTCGGGCGCAGACGGCCGGCGCCCAGAGCCCGAGCGAGCGCTGCCTGACGCCCGCTGGGGAGGGGCGGGGAGGGGAGGGGCGGGGGCGGGGAGGGGCGGGGCGGGGCTGTCACCCACCAGCTGCAGGTCGGCCACCGTCCGGTCAGGCACGAGGCTGTACACCTGGCTCCTGAGCGCGATGGGCGGCAGCGCGTCCTCGAACAGCCCGCGGGGGAACAGCTGCACGAGCTCCTCCACCGCCTGGCGCGCCGACCCTGCCCGGGGATGGGGGGGGGGGGAATCAGGGCCGCGCCCGGGTCGCCATGGTTACCCGCCCGGGCTCCTCCTCCTCCTCCTCCTCTCCCCCCGGAGGATCTGGACCCTCGGGCCCTTCGCGCCCGGGTCGCCATGGTTACCTGCGCCCGCCCTCAGAGGGTCGGGCCCCGACGCCCGCTGCTGCTGCTGCTGCCGCGGCCGCCGCTTCACTCCGAAGGCCTCCGACGCCAGGAGCCGCCTCTTGCGGTTCATAGCCCGGGAATCTCACTGCTCTTCCGGCGCGCGATAGTGACGACGGGGCCGCGGCGCGCGCGTGCGCGGGATTAGGGGGGCGGGAGCGAGTGGGAGAGGGGCGGAGCCGGCTTCACTTCCGGCGCGCGCGCCGCGGCCCGGCCGATTGGCTCGCGTCAGGGCGCTCGCTCCCGGCGCGCGTCCACCTGCGACCCGGCCCTGGGGTGCGGACCCGGCCCCGCCGCCGCCGCCGCGCCCTCTCTCCCTCCCTCCGTCCGGTGGGGCGGTGATGGCGTCATCAGAAGCGGACGCTGCGCTCTCGCGTCCCGCTCTGGCTTCTTGACGTGCCTGCCCCGACGCCGTAGCCTCCCGGGCTAGGGAGCTTTGAGGCGTCCGGATCTGTGCTCTGGGCGCAAACTTTTCTTGTTTTCTTTCTTTTTTGTTTGACACGCGCTCTCTCCCTCCGTGCGCAGCCCTGGCTGTGCTGGCACTCCCTCTGTAGCCCAGGCTGGCCTCGAACTCGCAGAGATCCGCCCGCCTCTGCCTCCCGAGCGCTGGGATCCAAGGCAGCGCGTCTGCCCGGGCTCTTCAGCCCTGGCGTCCTCACCTCCCCGCGCGTGGGAGGCCGGGGAGAGCGGGGTGAGAGGCGCTCGGCTCAGTGAACGAGGAGGGGCCGGGCTCGCGCTGCCCTCGTCCGCTCCGCGATGCGCACTCTCTCCCCTCAGGACCCCATGGAGCCCCGAGGGACCAAGAGGACAGCGGAGAAGGCAGACGGGGTGGCGCAGCCTTGGAGCAAACGCCCGCGCCCGGGGTCCTCGCTGCGCACGGAGCCCGCGCTGTACTCGGGGCCGTTCCCCTTCTACCGGCGCCCCTCCGAGCTGGGCTGCTTCTCCCTGGACGCACGGCGCCAGTACCACGGGGACGCCCGCGCCCTCCGCTACTACAGCCCACCCCCCGCCAACGGCCCCGGCCCCGGCTTTGACCTCAGGGATGGGTACCCCGACAGGTACCAGCCCCGGGACGAGGACGTCAGGGAGAGGCTGGACCACTTGCTGCGCTGGGTTCTGGAACACCGACGCCAGCTGGAGGGGTGAGCGGAAGTCCCGAGATCCGTGGGCGTCCCCCCCCCAGCTTGCGGGGGGCCACAAATGGTCCACAGCGGGGACTCCGGCCCAGAACGTTAGCCCCCGGCTCCTCCCGCCCCAGGGGTCCGGGCTGGCTGGCTGGGGCCACCGTGACGTGGCGAGGACACCTGACGAAACTGCTGACCACGCCGTACGAGCGCCAGGAGGGCTGGCAGCTGGCAGCCTCGCGGTTCCAAGGGACGCTGTACCTCAGTGAGGTGGAGACCCCGGCCGCCCGGGCGCAGAGGCTCGCTCGGCCGCCCCTCCTCCGGGAGCTCATGTACATGGGCTACAAGTTTGAGCAGTACATGTGTGCAGGTGAGCGTTGCCCCCGCCGCGGGGCCGCCTTCCCGTGCCTCGGGGGTCGAGAGCCCCCCCTTCCCCTTCCCGCCGCTGCTTCTCTCCTCGCACAGACAAACCTGGAGGCGCCCCGGACCCCTCCGGGGTGGTCAACACCAACGTGGCCTTCTGCTCCGTGCTCCGCAGCCGCCTGGGGAGCCACCCTCTGCTCTTCTCCGGCGAGGTGGACTGCATAAACCCCCAGGCCCGGTCCGCGCAGCCCCCCGCCTGCTACGTGGAGCTCAAGACCTCCAAGGAGATGCACAGCCCCGGCCAGTGGAGGAGCTTTTACAGGTTCAGGCCGGGTGGCCAGGGGGGCCTGGGACGCACGAGCAGCCTGGGGGTGGGGGTGGAGGTGGGGTCCCGCTGACCCTGAGCCTCTCCCGTCAGACACAAGCTCCTGAAATGGTGGGCTCAGTCCTTCCTCCCAGGGGTCCCACATGTCGTGGCCGGCTTCCGGAACCCAGAAGGTGTCGTCTGTTCCTTAAAGACCTTTCCTACCATGGAGATGTTTGAGAACGTGAGGGTAGGTCGGGGTGTCTGGGCTGCGGGCCACCACCCCCTCCCTGCACCAAGGCCTCAGGTCCAGTGCCCGTCTGCTCTCCGCCCCCCCCCATGTCTCCTGCCTCTTGTGTCCCTCCAGAATGACCGGGACGGCTGGAATCCCTCTGTGTGCATGAACTTCTGTGATGCCTTCCTAAGCTTCGCCCAGAGCACAGTGGTCCAGGATGACCCCAGGTGAGGGCCGGGGAAGGGGGGGTTGTGCGCCACCCCTGCATCTCTGCTCGGTGTCTGGCTCCACCCCACCCCTCCATCCCCTCCAGGCTTGTCCACCTCTTCTCCTGGGAACCTGGTGGCCCAGTCACCGTGTCTGTCCATCGGGATGCACCCTATGCCTTTCTGCCCACGTGGTACGTGGACGCTATGACTCAAGACCTCCCACCACTCGCAGCGCCGCCCTCCCCCACGGACTGACGCTTTGGGGACACGCTGGTCCCGTCTCTGTGCAGACAATAAACGCGTGTTTCTAAGCAGGTTTCTTGCTGTATCTGAATGCAGTAGCCCCGTGCCCCGAGCACTCTGGTTTCCTGTTTTATTGCTACACTTTTCTCCCACACGCCCTTCACTGGGTGTAGAGGCTGGCCGCAAAGACTATGTCCCGCCGCAGCAAGGTGGCTGCTGTCTCCATCTTGGCGCCCAGCACAGGCTCTCCTACCAAACGGGCTGCTCCTCGAAGCGAGCGGCACATCTCGGCCAGGCGCTGGATGCAGCGGACCACCAGGCCCTCGGGAGTCCCTGAGAGCCCTGCCAACTCGGAGAAGGGCTGTGGGGAGAACGGAGTGACCACTGAAGGAGCCGGGCCCGGGCACCCTCTCCCAGCCAGCCACCTGCCACAGGTACTTACCATGCCCCGAGCCCACTCATACACAACCTCGACCAGCCCAAAATTCAGCTCTCCCACAAATTCCTCCACCGTCTGGTTCAGGCCACAGGCCACCTGAACCTCGCCAATGCGCTTCGCCACAGCTCTGACACGTTCTACCCCCTGCAGACAGGAAGGAAGAGGTCAAGGCCCCTGATCGGGGACAGGCCATGCACACCTTGGGAGGCCTCTGCCGGGGCTGGGCATTCACAAGCCCAGGGAGGAGTGGCGGCCCCCACCTGTTTGAGGGTGCTTGGGAGCTGATCCCCAGGGTCACCAGGGCTCTGGCAGACCAGGCCAGAGAGCAGGGCTGCGATCTCCTCGGGACGCAGGGTGCTCAGTGCGTTATCGAACATGAGCTCGGTGAGGAGCAGCTCGTGGCTGCTCATGGCGCAGGCCACTCGCCCCGCCAGCTTCACCGTGCCGGCCTCATCCACGTAGCCCAGGGTCCGCAGCACCTGCAACAGCAGAGGGTGAGGGGGGCCTGACCGCCCTCTGAGCCCCTCTCCTCACACACCCCGCCCTTCTGTCACCTCCACACGCTGGTGGTATTCGGGGAGCAGCAACAGTGACTGGTCGGACAGCAGGAAGCGCAGCCTGTCCATCTCCTTCTGGATCTGCATCCGCTCCCGCAGCTTCAGGTACTAAAGAGAGCCACGGCAGGGGCCATCAGCGCCCCTCGCCGTCAGCAGGGGCGCCCTGGGCACGGGGCCGCGGGAGGAGGCACCGGGGCCATCAGCGCCCCTCCCGTCAGCAGGGGCGCCCTGGGCACGGGGCCGCGGGAGGAGGCACGGGGCGAAGCTGCCTCTGCTTAGGCGCTACCTGGGCAGGGAAGCGGGGGCTGTGCACACACTGAGCCCCCCGGATCAGCTCCTCCAGCTTCCGGGCCCGGAGCCCACCTTCTACCACAGACACGTCCTTGAGCTGCAGGTCGTTGACGGGGTCGAGGGTCGGGGGTCCCGACGGGTGGGCCTGAGCCAGGCGCAGCAGCTCCTGAACGGCAGTGGTGACAGCTGCGAGGGGAGGGTCCTTCCTGAAGGGGGGCGAGCGGGTGTTCCTTGCCACGGGAGCCTCCCCCGGAGCTGAGGGGGCCCCTTGGCTCCCCATGTCACGGTCCCCCTGGGACATGCCCTCCCTCCCCCGGAGAAGGCCCCCCAAGTCTCCGACCTGAACTTTGGTTGCTGCCTCTTGCTGAAGTCCTCAACGATCTTCTCCCCGTTCACCCGGAGCACTTTGGTGGAGATGGCAGCCACATCTCCTGGCTGCAGCCTGGTCACAGTGTGCTCGCAGGGCCCTGGAAATCGATCGGGTCAGGAGGCTTCGCCATGCCCCCCCCCCCATCCTGTTCACACCGCCTTCGGGGACTCACCTTCAGGCAGGAACAGCTTGAAGCCCACAAGGTCATCCGGCTGGGGCACGTCTGCGGTGGCTGGCCCCTTGTCCCGCGGGCTCTCAGACACAGCCGGCTTATCGCACAGGACCAGTGTTGTAAACACTCGGCTGGTGGAGTTGGAGGAGACCTACAGGAGGCACGCACACCAAATGTGGGCATGGCACGCCCACCCTGGGCGGGGATGGGGGCGCCCCCACTCCCCACAGAGCCCTTGGACTGTGCAGGGTGGCCCGGCCAAGCGCTACAGGGGTTTCTTGGGGGCCAGGCACGGAGACAAGCACAAAGTGGTGACGAGAGCCTGAGCCCGTCGGGGGACAGTGCCGAGCCTCCCGCTGTCCCGGGATGAGCACCCTCTCGTCCTCACCTGCAGGATCACCCCTAAGGCATTGTGATGTTCCTCGTTCTTCACAACCACCACCCTTCCCGTGGACAGAGATTTCAGCCCGTTCACAGACTCCATGATGCGTCGCTGGAGAGCGGGGAGGGCACAAGGGGGCGCGGGAAGATGTGAGACCGGGACACGGGGGCCAAGTTTAGGGGCCCCAGCGTGATTCGCTGCCCGCTGGCTCACCTGGATCATGTTCCGGGTCTCTGTCAGCTCCTCCCCCCAGCTGTAGTAATCAGGCAGGTCGGCCAGTTGGCCAGTCACGTCGGGCTCCTCCAAGGCCCCCAGCCGCTTGGAGAGTTCAGCCAGAGCCTGCTCGTGGGCCTGGGGAGAAGGGGGGGTTGTAGCAAGTCTGCCAGCCCAGCCCGCTCTACTGTACCCCACCCCGCGGCCATGCCCAATTATTCCTGGCTGGTTCAGACCTGCCTGCTGCGCTGGCTGCCCTAACCTCCTCACCTTGCTGTCCTTGCGGGACGGGAACTCCGAGAAGCTTCTCTTCATCATGTCCTCGACCCTGAGGGCGTCCACCCTCAGCAGGTTGAGGATCATGGTGTACGTGAGACGGAACTGGGACTGAAGCTGGGACGGCTTCCCCTGGAGTCAGAGTCAGAGGGACCGGGTGGGACCTGTGCTCTAGCCAATGGGATGGCTTCCTCTAGAGTCAGCGAGACCGGGTGGGACCTGTGCCCTAGCAATCTTCTGATCCCGGCTCTGCAGCCATGAGGCCTCAGACCAATCCCTGGTCACTTCCTCAATAACATAAGGGCACAAAATAAAAGGCATGGACTCCCGAAGGCCCCCATCGGGCACGGTACCCACAGTGGCAGTAAAGCAACAGAAGTGGGAGCCCCTAACCCTAACCCTTGGACTAACCTAACCTAACCCTTGGACTAACCTAACCCTAACCCTTGGACTAACCTAACCCTAACCCTAACCCCTTGGACTAACCTAACCCTAACCCTTGGACTAACCTAACCTAACCCCTTGGACTTGCTCGCTTTTTCGTTTTGTTTTGTTTTGTTGTTTTTTTGAGACAGGGTTTCTCTGTGTGGCTTTGGAGGCTGTCCTGGAACTAGCTCTGTAGACCAGGCTGGCCTCGAATTCACAGAGATCCACCTGCCTCTGCCTCCCGAGTGCTGGGATCAAAGGCGTGCGCCACCACTGCCCAGCTGGACGAGCTCACTTTTAGCTTGCCTTCCCCCAGGAAGGTGAGAGCATCAGAAGAAGGTGTTGGACTAAAGGACTAGGCCCCGAGTCACCCTGCTCACCATCATCATGCGGTGTAGATCTGCCATCTCGGGCACTCGGCCCTTACACAGCAGGATGACGGTGCCTGTGGGGTCCAGGCCCCTCCGGCCCGCCCGGCCTGCCATCTGTACATACTCCCCAGGCAGCAGGTCCCGGAAGGTAGAGCCATCGTGTTTGCGCATGGAGTCAAACACCACTGTCCTCGCTGGCATATTCACCCCCATGGCGAAGGTCTCAGTAGCAAACAAGACCTGAACAGAGGGGGAGACTAGATCAGGAGAAAGGCCCTTTATATGCCCAGCTCTGGTGGAGCTCACCCCGCCTTAGAGCCTCATCTCAGAGAACCGGCTACAGGACTTCCGTGGGCTCTCAGGAGGACCCCAGTGTCTCAGAACGTCTACAGGACTTCCATGGGTTCTTAGGAGGACACACAGTGTCTCAGAACGTCTACAGGATTTCCATGGGCTCTCAGGAGGACACACAGTGTCTCAGAACGTCTACAGGACTTCTGTGAGCTCTCAGGAGGACCCCAGTGTCTCAGAACATCTACAGGACTTCGTGAGCTCTCAGGAGGACCCCAGTGTCTCAGAGAACCGGCTACAGGACTTCCGTGGGCTCTCAGGAGGACCCCAGTGTCTCAGAGAACCGGCTACAGGACTTCCGTGGGCTCTCAGGAGGACCCCAGTCTTCCGCACTCTACTTAGGTGTCACCTGGTTCTTCCGAGTCCCACCTCCACCCTGCTGGGATGGTGTCTGACAGCACCTTCCCGCGTGGACACCACTGCAGGCCGTCTCGCTCTGATTCGGCTCACGCAAACACAGCCGAACCTCTGATTGGGTTCTACTTTCCACATGCATCCGTGTTCCTGTAGCTTTACCAGTCACCGCTTGTGACTGAGGTAGGTGGTGTGTCTCTGTGGGGGACGCCCCTCCATTTACCTAGCCACTGTCCCACCCCGTTTCTCAGCCAGCCTTTCAACCCTGGTCCCCGGGAGCACGGGCTTGAGATCGGAACCCTGTCATCGTAGACAGGGCCACAGAGAATAAAGCAAACGCGGGTTCCCTCACAGACCGAGGCAGAATTTATTTGCCATCAATACCCAAGAAAGACCCCTAGTGTCAAAAGTCTACTATATTTAGTTTGCTCAAACGGTGCCATGGCAGAAAAACAACAACAGTGCTTGGATGCCAAGCAATGGCAGACTGGCGACAGCCTGCGTCTCTGGCCACACACAGTTAGTGAGCTTCCCGAATGAGTGAAGCACCCCAGCCGCCGTACAGCTGTTTCCTGAAAGCATTTCAGTCTGCGTCTCTAGCTATTAGTGGCGCCTGCCCGCTGGGGAGGCCTCTCTTCTCAGGACCACTTGCATTGCGTCAGAGCACCCCCATTTAAGGCTGAGGTGAGAACTGGGGTTCCGCGGGGTCATGAAAGCTGGAATTCAGACCCAGGTAGCCTGGATCCAGAGCCCAGGTTCCTAACCACTGCACTGCACTGTCCTGCCTACGCCTTGGCCCCTCTCCCCCACCTGCTCACCTTGACCAGCCCTCGGCTGAACAGCATCTCCACTATCTCCTTGAGGATGGGCAGGATGCCGCTGTGGTGCACACCCAGGCCCCGGCGAAGGAGCTCTGACATGTGCAGGACCTGCAGGGGAGAGGAAGGAGGGGGCAGCAGGTCGGAGAGGGCGTGGATGGACGCCACCCTCAGCAGGGGCAGGTCTCAGATCACCGCACCCCCACCCGTGCACCCACAGGGGCACAGCACACCTGGGGCAGCTGCCGGTCAGAGCCGCGGAGCCGCGCGAGGCAGCGCTGCAGAAAGAGGTGGATCTCGCTCTTCTCCGAGCTTGTCGTGAGGTCCAGGGAGGTGAGGCCGGAGGCCTGCTCATCACAGCGGCCCCGGGAGAAGGTGAACACTACCACGGGCAGCTGAGCCCGGGCCCGGAGGGAAGCCAGCAGGGACAGGTACACTCCGCGGTCCTGAGGTTACGCGGAGGCGGCAGAGTCAGGGTTAGGTGGGCTTTTGCAGGACAGGGTGCAGACCTCAAGCCCACCTGCTCCCCGCGGGGACCGGGCGGGGCTGAAATGCAGGCTTTGGCGGGGATGACAGGCCCTCACCTGGGCGGGTCCTCCCTGGTGCGTGGGCTGCTTGGCCCCAAAGGTCTGGGCGTGCTTGCTCATCCTCTCCTTCTTGGCCTCCGCTGCCGCATAGTACCTGAGCACGGGCGAGGTGGCGTCAGGCCCAGCCCAGGCCCAGCCACGGCACCCAGCCCTGGACTTACCCCTTGGTGTGGAAGGCCCCTCGGGAGTCCAGCAGCAGGAAGAGCTCCCCCTGCGTCTTGGGGCTGTTTCCTGTGAAGAGGTAGTGTTCCAGGGGTACAGGACGGGCAACCGTGCTGATCACATAGATCTGCCGCCGCTTCAGCCGCCTGGAGGGAGGAGGAGGGCAGCGGGTCAGGGAGGGCGCGGGAAGGAACCCCATCTTCCTGTTCTTTCTGGGGCCTCGAATGGGAGGCCACGAGCCACAACTTCATCTCCACTTCAGCCCTCACTGGTTCAAAGACACAGCCCCTGCCCTATGCCATCCTCACTTAGCACCATGGAGTCTGCCCGTCCAGACAGCTGGCTCCCACCACCCCACCTCAGCATCCAAAAAATGTTCTGGGCCCCCAACCCAGGTGCGGCTGTTTCCCAGCTCCACACCCTCACCCCTCTCCTCGTCGTAGTGGCCTGAGCTCCCCAACCCCGACCAAGGAACGCCACGGTCCTCTTCACTCAAGCACCGGGGACACGCGCCTCACCCAATCCAGTCAGCAAACTCCAGGGCGTTGGGCACGGTGGCGCTCAGAAGGATGATGGAGACGTGGTCAGGGAGCATGATGAGCACCTCCTCCCACACGACCCCACGCTGCACACACGTGGGGAGGCCGGTCAGTCAGGGAGCGGGAGACGGCACCGTCGGTCCTCAGGGCCAGCCGCTCCCGCCACTCACCTCGGCGTCGTTGATATAGTGGACTTCATCAAAGATGACCCACTCCAGGTCCCGGATGACGTCGGAGCCGCTGTACAGCATGGAGCTGGGGAGAGGCAGCGCCCAGCTGGCCCTCACAGCCCTGACTCTGCCCGGCTTCCCCAGGGATGCTCACTCCCCATCCAGAGCCCACCAGGGAGGCCCCCCTCGCTCACCGAAGAATCTCGGTGGTCATGATGAGGCAGGAGGCCTCTGGGTGCAGCTGCACGTCCCCCGTGAGCAGCCCCACGTCCCCGAACGTGTTTCGGAAGTCCCGAAACTTCTGGTTGCTCAGGGCTTTGATGGGAGAGGTGTAGATGGTGCTGGAAATGGGGTATGAAGTCAGTCCGTCCGTCCGTCTGTCCTCACAGACGCACGGCCGGGGCACCCTGCCTTCCAGACTGAGCCCTCCCTCACACTGACCACCCTCAAACCGTCCTCCGTGACTCCAGCCCTTCCTAGGCTAGCCCAGGTCCTCTTTCTGCCCTGCTTCTCTCCTTAGACGTTCTTATCTCTCTCTGAACCCCCATCTCAGCCTCCCCCCTGAACCTCGGGATAAGGCTGACAGCCGAGGGGAGGTCCCGCAAGGGTGCAGGAGAGGGAGGGCAGGCTGAGGAGGCATGGTACCGGGTCATGTGTTTCTGGGCCAGGGCAATGGCGTACTCGGCCACCACCGTCTTCCCGGCGGAAGTGTGAGCTGCCACAAAGACAGAGTCGTGCTGCTCCAAGTGCAGGATGGCCTGCTTCTGAAACACGTCTGGCTCAAAGGCCCACTGTGTGAGAGACACGGGCGGGGCTGTAGCGACAGAGCCGCTCTCTCTGCCCCCCCCCGCAGGCGTGCAGGGCAAAGAGAAGGCTGGGACCAAGGAGCGAGGCAGGCCAGGAAGGTGTGTGGGCTCTGGTGAAGACAGAGGCCGCGGCTGGGCTGAGGGGCGGCACAGGGCCGGGTCTAGCAAGCGGTGGAGTAAGGCCTGGGCACAGTACCTGGAAGGCAGGCTGAGGAATCAGACGGTAAAAGTCACCCACAGGGGAGGTGACATCCACAGGGACAGCCCACTGCTCCTGAGCGGCAGGTTTGGGAGGCTCCGTCAGGGATACGGCTGAGGATGCTTCCTGGAAACGTTCAGGCAGGGGTGACAGAAGTATAGCCAGAGTGCCCGACTGCTACCCATCCCCCAGAAAGATCTCACTGTTATCCTCAATCCCAACCCCCTCCTGGCGGCAGGCCCCTTCCCGCTTGTCTCCGTCCGTGGTAACTAACTGCCAACCTTCAACACCAGGTCCTCCAGACTGCTTGCTCGGGCCAGGGGGACACTGAGGGGAGAGGCCGGAACGGTGTCCCCCCTCGGGCCCCCTGCCGCCTCACTCTCCTCCTCCTCGTCGCCTCCGCTCAGGTCTAGAGGCTCCAGCAGGCGGCTGAGGCTGAGCAGCCCTGGCACAGGGGCCTGGTGATCTGAGGGGACAAACGCCGGCCTTGTCGCACTCGCACTTCTGAGGGAGCAGGGCAGCCCTGCCAATCCCTACCAGACTCACCCTTGGGGGCAAAATCCACCCCTTTCCTGAAGCCAGGTGGGACTGTGAGAAGACCTGCAGGCGGGAACGGAGAGGCGGCATCATCCACCCACCCAGCCGCTCTGGGAACTGCGTCATGTGACACAGAGCTACTCGGGGAGAGCCCCTTCTCCCTCGGGGGTGAGAAGGGTCCCTTCCCCGTAGTCTCTGAAAGTACAGGGCGGGCAGCAGCGGCCACTGGGCCCTCCTCAGACGCGCCCACTTCACCTTCCTCAAAGTCTACGTCCTCCTCAGCTTCCTCCCGAGTGCTCAGATCTGCCATGCTGGGCTCGTCCATCCCACCTGGGGAAGACACGAGAGCACGGCGTCGGCAGGGACCCCGGACACTAAGACACTGTCTTCTACCTCCCCACGGTCACCCACAGCTTACCTGGCCAGAAAGGGTACTGTGTCGGATTGCCCCATAGTGACTGGGAGGCTGGCCCCGGAGGCCGGCGGAGGGACAAGGAGGTTGTGGCCGACAGGTTTGTGTTCTCCAGCAGGACCTGAGAGGCAGTCAGAGCCCCAGTGAGGCCAAGCCAGCTCCGACCCATTCTCCCAAGTCCGTTTCCTGGGGTGGTGTCCGAGCCCTCACCTCCTTATAGCCCAGGATCTGGCCCGTGGTTGGGTGTCTCTGGGCCTGGAGGTCGGACGGGACGGGAGCCCCCAGAGCAGCCAGAAGAGACCATGGATCCCTCTTCCTCTGCCATTTTCTGGAGAGAAGGGATTCTGGAGTCGGCTCTCCCCCCATCCCTCCGTCCCTCGGTGGGTCCGTGTCCTTAGTTGGGCCCCCGAGGACGGACGGGCTCCTCACCGAGCTGAGTGCTCCACACCGTGCAGAGGCAGCCAGGCGGGGGACGACAGAAACAAGTGCTCCGCTTCTTGCTGCAGGTCTGGGGCACAGGGAGGGAGGCCGTGGGGAAGCTAGGACGAGGACAGGGTGAGACGCGTCAGTCAGGGCAGGACGGACGAAAGGGGCGATGGCAGGTGTCTCGGACAGAAGCCGGGGCCATCGGGTGATGAGCACGGCCACCTGCAGCTGCAGTCCTGGGCCGCTAAAGCGAACTGTGGGTTTCAGACGCAGCAACCTGCATTCTTATTTTGGTTTTTTTGAGACAGGGTTTCTCTGTGGCTTTGGAGGCTATCCTGGAACTCTCTCTGTAGACCAGGCTGGCCTCGAACTCAGAGATCCGCCTGCCTCTGCCTCCCGAGTGCTGGGATTAAAGGCATGCTGCATTCTTATTTTAAGACAGGCTTTCATGTACCACCCAGGCTTGCGTCCAGCTTCATATGTGTGTGTGTGCATGCGTGTGTGTGACAGAATGACCTTGAACTAGGGGGTGACAAGCATGCCATACCACACTTGAGTGGATCAAACCCAGGTCTGTGTGTGTGCTAGGGAAGCCCTGTACTGACTCGAGCTACATACTCAGCCGGGAGTCTGCATTTTAGGACTCCTTAGTAGTAGTAATACCACGTGTGGAATGTACACACACGCCCCGGCACGTGTGGCAGCTGGGGGCAGCTCTGTGGAGCTGGCTCTCGCCCTCTGCCTTCACACGTGTTTCATCAGGCACGCACGGCAAGCACTTTAAACGCTAAGCCGACGCCTAACGCTCAATGAATATCTGAGATGCAGGGTATCTGACACGCAAGCCCTGTGAAAGGATCGTTCAACCACGGAAGGGGCTAAGTCAGTCCCAGATCTTCTCTTCCTTCTCCTTATTACTTATTCGTTCGTTTTGGGGATGGCCTGGAACTTGATGGGTAGACCAAAACTGGCCTGCAACTCGGGGGAGCCGCCTCTGCCTCCCAAGTGCTGGGATTAAAGCCCTGAGCATCTGCCCGGCTTCAGATTGAGGAGTTCAAAATCGAGGTGTCAGCCAAGTGCAGGAAGAGGGACCCTCGGAGGAGGCAGGGGCAGCTGTGGGAGCTAGTGTCCCCCGCACCCCCTGTTCTGACCCTCTGGGAGCTCCGGGAGGCTGGGATGTGTCCGTCGCCAGCTGGGGGCCGGATGACAGTGTCCAGGCTCAGGCAGGCGGGGTCGAGCTCGACCCTCCAGCGAGCGGTCAGGGAGGAATTACTCACGGTGCTCTCTGGAGCCCCAGGCTCGCTCAGCAGCTCCCAGCGCCCGGTGCACCCCACTTCCAGAGCTCGAAGGGGCAGGTTCAAGGGATCCGGGGGAGGCAGCACTACGGGGTGTGGGGGGAGAGGCCAGGGGTTAGAGGCCAAAAGTCATTCCCATCTGCTACTCCCCCGTCCTCCTCTCCCTTCCCCTCCCCGCACCGAGTCTCTCAGTCTCCATCATCCTGAAGCCCCGGCGGCGGCTGCGCAGCCCGGAAACTCAGAGCAGCCGCGGAGTTGGCTCCGCCCCGAGACGGGCGGAAATGGTTTTTTTTCCCTCCCGACACGCCCCCCTCCCTCCTCCACTCCCCGCCGGGAGCGTGGGCGAGCGCGGGCGCCGAAGCCGAGACGGGGAGCCGGGCCAGGCCGGGCGGAAGTGGCTGCGCCTCGCCGCCTTGGTTACCGCGTGTCCCGCCCCCACCGTGTGCGTCATCGCAGCGAGCCCGCGCGCTGAGCAGCCCGCGCGGCGGCGGCGGCGGCGGCGGCGGCGGCGCCGGAGCGACCGCGGCCCGGGCGCCGCCCCCTCAGGTGAGGGCTTCGTCCCGCATCATCCTGCGAGCCTTCCCCGCGCGGGCCCCCGACCCCCGCGTCCTCCTCCTCCTCCCCCACCGGCGGTGGCCCGGAGAGCGCTGCGCGGGCCCGGCCGCCTTCTCCGCCCTCCGGACCCCGAGGTTGGCTGGGCTGACCGCGCTGGGCATGGGGGTCGCAGGGAGTGCCTCCCCTTCTCCGGGCTGACGCTCTGGCGTCTGGACCTTGGGCAAAGGCGGGGACGCCGGTTGACTTAAGGAGCGGGAGGCTGGACAGCAGCCTCGCTGAAGCCAGGGGGCCGGAGGCTGCCGCGGTAGGGCGAGCGCGGGCCTGGAGCGTGGGGCGCCGACGAGGGTGGCCGCAGAAGTCGGGCTGGCTGTGCGAGTGGTGGCGGGTGGCCGCTAGGCAAGTGATGTCTTGGGTTTCTGCCCCTGAGCCAGGAGCCAGCATGCTGGTGATACCCCCCGGCCTGAGCGAAGAGGAAGAGGCGCTGCAGAAGAAATTCAACAAACTCAAGAAAAAGGTAAGGGAGGTGCTGGCCCAAGCCTTTGCCAGACTCCGAGGACCACCCCGGGTGAGCGTGAGGCCATAGTTGGGGAGGGTGGCTCTCCTGTCTCCTGCCTCATACCCAGAGTTTCGCCTATAGTTTGAGTCCTCCCTACTTTTCTGTTCAGCCCCCCCCCCTCCGCGGACCTGTCGCGTGGTTCCTGAGGTTTTACTGCCATCCCAGAGCCGGGCGGGGGGGGTGTCACGTTTGGATCCCTGGTCCCATTCAGTACGGGTTTTTGAAGCATCAGATGCCAAGCTAAACCCGCCTTCCTGTGTTGTGTGGTCTACTTCCGTTTTTAAAGTCTGACCCCCCCCCCCCTTCAGACAGGGCCTCACCATTTAGCCCCCAGGCTGGATTGAAGCTGTGTAGCTTCGGGTAGCCTGGAACACTCGTACCTGAACCACCCTACGCACTCAGCTCTCCTCTGGCTTCTACACTGTTTACACGGCAGAGCGTCCGTCACGTCTGTCCGCCCTCTGTCCCTCCCTCCCACTTTGTCTTTTTCTGTTTTGTCTCCGTCGTTTGAAGCTGGATCTCAGCACACAGCCCAGGTTGATCCTCGGCTCCAGGGTTCCCGTTGCGGTCTTCCCGCCCTCGCTCCTGTGATCAGTAATGTCTCGGGTGACTCATTCCTGCGAGCCCCTCAGAACAGGGGTTTGCTTGGCTGTTTTGGGGGACACACTTGATGCATTGAAAACACTTCAGAGGTTTCACGTCACGTCGTGTATAGACCAAGGCCTTGAAATCTCTGCTTAGTATCCCTGTGGAAAAAGAATTACTCTTAAAACAGGCATCCTGGTGGCCAAGCAGTGGTGGCGCTCCCCTTTAATCCCAGCTCTCAGGAGGCAGAGGCAGGCGGATCTCTGTGAGTTTGAGACCAGCCTGGTCTACAGAGAGAGTTCCAGGACAGCCACGGGCCACACAGAGAAACCCTGTCTCGAAAAACAAAAACAACAAAACAAAACAAAAGCACATCTCAAGACCTTTTCTCTGCATTTTTACGGCCCTGTTTTCTTTTATCTAAAATATCTTTTTGTGTGTGTTGGGTCCCAGTTTGATAACCACTTAAGCATCTGAAAACGTTACTTGCTTCCAGCTGTGATTGGTTAGCGCCTTGGGTTGTTCTTGGCCGTCAGTCTATGGTCGTTACGTTTCCTGGGTTAGGAACTAGGGTTTCACTTTTGTACAGCCTCCTTACACACGCACAGATAGGTGGGTAAAATCCCCAGGGCTTAACTGCAGCTTATACGGTAGGGTTTAGGGTTTTTTTTTGCTTTGTTTCCCTTTTTTTTTTTTTTTTTTTTTTTTTTTTTGGTTTTTCAACACAGGGTTTTTCTGTATTGCTTTGGAGCCTGTCCTGGAACTAGCTCTTGCAGACCAGGTTGGCCTCGAACTCACAGAGATCCGCCTGCCTCTGACTCCCCAAGTGCTGGGATTAAAGGCATGCGCCACCAACACCCGGCTTGTTTTGCTTTTTTTCCAACTTCCAAAGTAGACTAGAGAGCCTTTGGATGCCACATCTTGGTTAGGGCAAACGCTGTCAGCACCATTGTGATGTAGAGACTACATGTGCCACTCCAGGACACGGACACCGTGTGTGTGGCCCCTCTAGGGATACACGTAAGAGGCCGGCACCTTGGATGACAAACCTCTTCTGGTTAATCTCTCTCCCTCCCAGAAAAAAGCATTGCTGGCTCTCAAGAAGCAAAGTAGCAGTGGCTCGGCCAGCCAGGGTGGCGTCAAACGCTGTGAGTAACGGGGACCAGGGAGGGAGCAGCACGGGGCTGCCCTCCGCCACAGCGGCATAATCCCCCCTTCCCCTCTCCCCCAGCACTGTCAGAGCAACCTGTGGTGGACACGGCCACAGCAACGGAACAGGCCAAGCAGCTGGTGAAGTCAGGAGCCATCAGTGCCATCAAGGCTGAGACTAAGAACTCAGGCTTCAAACGTTCTCGGACCCTGGAGGGGAAGTTAAAGGTGAGCACCGGACGGTGGTTTGGGGCACTCTTGACGTCGGTGAGAGCCCTCCGAGCCGGAAGGGAGGTCAGTTTAGGGGAAATCGTGTACATTCAGATACCAGCAAGTTGTGCTGTTCTGAGGGTCAGGGTGTTTTTCTGCTTTTGGTCTTTTTTTATTCCTCCCTCACTGTCTCCCCAGGCCAGTCTCCAACTCATGAGCTCAAATGACACACCCGTCCCAGCCTCGCTAGCAGCTGGGACTAGAGGGGCACACCACCACACACTGTGGGACCATTAGGTTTCTTGTCTGTCACACAGGAAGCCTAGGTGGCTCCTACGTTTCTGGTTTCCACATTTGTGCTGCTAGGGTTGAAGGAAGGTTTGCATAAACCAAACCCTTATCTAAAAATAGCACAGCAAGCCAGGTGGTGCACGCCTTTAATCCCAGCCCTCGGGAGGCAGAGGCAGGCGGATCTCTGTGAGTATGAGGCCAGCCTGGTCTACAGAGGGAGTTCCAGGACAGCCAGGGCTACACAGAGAAACCCTGTCTTGAAAAACAAACGAAAAGACCAGCATCGTCAATAAGAAGCGTGATAGGAATGAAGGAGGAGCTAGATGAGAAGCCCAGAGGAGAGGGAAGAGACGCCCTCCTGGGCGGCACTAACATGAGCGTCTCCCCTCCCAGGACCCTGAGAAGGGGCCTGCCCCCACCTTCCAGCCGTTCCAGAGGAGCGTTTCCGCTGACGAGGACCTGCAGGAGGTAATGATGGTTCCTGTGCGGCTGGGGTGGAAGACAAAAGACCCACAGATGTTGGGTCCCGCTCCTGCTCCCGGGAATCATCTTAATTGTTCCTTATCTTTTTTCCCCCTCAGTCGTCCAGACGTCCCCAGAGGAAATCTCTGTATGAAAGGTTAGAGAGAAGCCACAGTTTGGTGTGGGGTCAGTGGCCAGAGGCGTTGGAAGGTTCAGGGTTGGACGGGAAGGAGCAGCTGCAGCCAGTGCGTGTCTGTAAGAAGATGGCGCCCCCTTTGTCCTTACTGTCTGCCTCTCCCCAGCTTTGTGTCGTCCAGCGATCGGCTGCGGGAACTGGGACCAGATGGAGAAGAGTCAGAGGGCCCCGGGGCTGGTGACGGCCCACCTCGAGGCTTTGACTGGAGCTACGAAGAACACGGTGGTGGCCGCTCCTCAGCCTCCCCTCCCCGAAGCCGCAGCCGGGACCGAAGTCATGAGAGAAGCCGAGATAGGGACCGCGACAAAGACCGCGACAGAGACCGGGATCGAGATAGAGACCGCGACAGAGACAAAGACAGAGACCGCGCCGACAGAGACAAAGACCGCGACAGAGACCGGGAGCGAGAGCGCGAGGGCCCTTTCCGCAGTGAGTGCTCTTAGTCAGGGTTGGTGGGCCCTGCTAAAGTGGGGGTGGCCGGGACTCAGTCGTGACTGTGACTCCTGACCCACAGGGTCAGACTCGTTCCCCGAGAGGAGGGCCCCTCGGAAGGGCAACACCCTTTATGTGTATGGAGAGGACATGACGCCCACCCTGCTCCGAGGGGCCTTCTCTCCCTTTGGGAACATCATCGACCTCTCCATGGACCCGCCCAGAAAGTAAGGATGAGCACCTGGGGAGGAGCTGCGTGGGGACACTAGGGCCGTGAGCCGCCCCTGATCCCGCTTTTTCTCACCCCAGCTGTGCCTTCGTCACCTACGAAAAGATGGAGTCTGCAGATCAGGCCGTAGCTGAGGTTGGGACTTCTCAGACCCCTCCCTCCTGTCCCTCCTGTCCCTCCTGTCCACCTCTTCTCCTGACAGAAAAACTCCATCCTCAGGGCCCTGTCTGGTACCCAGGGTGGCAGCACCTGGCTCCCTGTAATGCCCACCCTCTGTCCCCTCGCGTTTTGCCCCACAGCTCAATGGGACCCAGGTGGAATCCGTGCAGCTCAAAGTCAACATAGCCCGCAAACAGCCCATGCTGGACGCTGCCACTGGCAAGTCTGTCTGGGGTTCCCTCGGTAAGAATGGCACTCTTCCCTCGTCCCCTCCCTACAGCCCACTTCCTAGAGCGCTGAGGGTGAGGGTTTGCACCGGGCAGGTGATGGAGGGGAGGGGAGAGGAGGGACATGAAAGGTAGGGCCCCAGCAGTGACTGGCATGGGGAGAGCAGGAGCCAGAGCGGCATCTGCACTGAAACTGTGTCTGGAACCATCGAGATGGGAATTGTAGAGAGAAGGGTGACCCAGGACTGGTTTGGGGATCAAGTGCGTTAGGGGCTGACTGGGCTCCAGCAATCCTGGCCTGCCCGGCGGAAGTGGCAGCTGCAGCGAAGGGGTCCCCTGAGAGCAGCCCCAGAAGCCCTGGGCCATGGACCCAGGCTCTGTAGAGGACGGCCAGTCAGAGAGGCAGGGTGCAGGGCCAGAGGGGGGCTGCCTCTGGCCCACGGGTGTAGGACAGAATCCTTGAATGAGGAGCGTAAGCAAAGAGCAGCCGAGACTTGGGATCTGAGGGTTCCTCGGTGTGGACAGATTTTCAGAGCAAGAGGCCCCGCAGACCAGGTAGGAACCAGAATTGACCAGCGTGTCAGCGGGGGCCACAGAGATGTTCTCATCTTTAATGTCATGTGTTTCATGGTTTCATCGTTCACGCGTCTCACGCACAGCAATACGGTTCTGCAGTCTCTGAGCTGCAGTGAGACTCTGGCCACGGGGGGGCAGCATAAGCACTGGTAGGCCAAGGCCAGGGCAGAGATAGACTGGGACCTCGGGTCTAACCGTGGGCTGCTTCACACCTTGACTGTCCCTGTCCTCCCTCCTTAGCTGTCCAGAACAGCCCTAAGGGGAGCCACCGGGACAAGAGGACCCAGATTGTGTACAGTGACGATCTGTAGGAGCCCTGTGGATAGCTTCATGGACACGAAGCTGGACTCCTTGTGCCTCATACGCCTGCCCCCAAGCTGGTCTCAGTAAAACTCAGGGCAGAAGCTCACTCACCCCCTCAGCCTCTAGTTTTTCAGCACTTGGGATCGGGTTAAACCTTCAAAAGCGGCTGTCAGGGTTGATGTTACTTGTAGCAACGTGACCAGTGCACACACACCTCCCCCCCTCGACCCCCAAAAGATGAAGAACACAGTCTTTATCGCAGCTGTTTTAATTCGACCCTCACCCCTCCCAGCCGGAAGCCCCTCATAGGAAACCCAAGTCCTCATCTTTGAGTTTCTCCTTCAGCCAGGGCAGCACCTGGAAAAGGTTGACGTGGAAGTCCCGGGCGTGGGCAGGGACCATCTGCTGCCGCCTCGGGCCTTTGCAGACGTCCACTACTCCCCAGCTGATCACACCGACCTGTGTGGGGGAAGGGTCGCCGTGGTCACTTGACACCTCATAACCCCAGAAAGACCAAGCTGCCCCAAAGAAGTTCACCAGGAGCCCAGCCGGCACCGCCTTCCTAGGTGCACGTAGGCCGGACGCTCGGCTTATCGTCAGCCACGCACACCAAGCGTCCCCTCGTGTGTATGTGGGCCCTGGGCGCCTCCCCCAGACTCACTTGGATGAAGCGGCTCCTCTTGTGAACAATGAGAGGGCCCCCAGAGTCTCCTGTGGAAAAGAGAAGCTGTAGGGGAGGCGGCTGGGCCCTGTGGGCTTGCAACGCGGCCAGAGCCACACCTCACCTTTGCAAGTGTTGGGGTCAGCATAGGGGTCCACCCCGCCAGTGCAGAGGAACCTGGGGGTGACCACCTGGGACACATCCTTGACCTTGTCATAGCCTTGGGCCCTCAGAGCATCTCTCTCACAGCTGGCTCTCTGCGGGGGAGAAGCCGCGATGACCAGAGCTGGCTTGGGAAGGAGCAGGCCTAGCTGGCCCTCTAGGAGCCCCTCCTCACCTTGTCCCCGTTCTTGATGTAGACCTCCTTCCGAGTCAGTCTCTTCCCCTCTTCAGACACAAACAGCGCTTTGACATCCTTCACGGGGAGCAGCTCCTCCTCTACACAAGTGACAGGTCACACTGTCTCCCCACCCGTCACCATGTCCCCTCACTTCTTACCCATCCGCTGTCCCTCAGGCCCCAAGTGGAACACAGCCCTCCTCCCTCTTGCGACCCCTTTGCCTTGGGTGGCAGCCTTGTCCTGTCCTGCACCACGCCTTACTGTGCTGCTTGCAAGTGGCCGTCTGAGGAAGCCGTAAGGCTCGGGTGGTTCCCTCCGTGCAGGGGAGGCAGATGGGCCTGTCGAGGGGATGGGGACAGTCAGGGGCGGCAGACAGCCTGCCCTGTGCCCAGCGTCCTGTGCCTCAAACCCACCTTCCCCAGCTCCCCGGGGGCCTGGCCCGCTCACCTGAGAGTCTGGTCATACTTCAGCTTGGTCTTCAGCTTGATGAGGGCCACATCGTAGTCATAGAACTCACGGATTCCTTGTGCCGCCTTCTCATTGATGTTGTACTTGGGGTGAAACAGGACCTCTTCGATCTCCAGGTCCTGCCTCCTCCCTCCTGGAGGAGGGAAATGTGCACGGGTTTATGTGGTTTATGTGTCTAAGCGGCCTGCCGGCTCTGGCCCCTTGTCATGGCCTGAGTTCTGAGTCCCCTGACCTCGGGTGTAAGGACAGGTCAGGCACTCAGTGCTTCCTAGGATGGGCCCCCGAGATGAGCACTGGCTGTAAGGATGGCTCTGAGATGAGCATTGGGTATAAGGACGGGTCAGGCACTCAGTGCTTCCTAGGACGGCCCTGAGGTGAGCACTGGCTGTAAGGACGGCCTGAGATGAGCATTGGCTGTAAGGACTGGTCAGGCACTCAGTGCTTCCTAGGATGGGCTCCCGAGACGAGCACTGGCTGCACCTTACCCACGTTGACCTTGATGGAGTGTTTCTGATCCTCCACTGTGAAACAGTGCGCTGCCGTCAGCACGAAGTACTCGGACACCACGGCCCCCATGCAGTTCTCGTGGCCTTTCAGCGGGCGCTGGAGGGGGACCGTTGTGGTGTCAGCCTCTGAGTATGTGCCGCTCGAGGCTGGCTCCATAGCTGTGCCCCTCTGTCCATCTGTCTGTCTGTCTATCCCTGGCTGACCACAAACTCGGGGTGGCTCTGCCTCCCAGGAGCTGGGGGTACCTACCATACACGCCCCTCACACACACACCCGCCAGCCCCACCCCGCCCAGCTTCCGTTTTCAGTCTCTGTTGCTGACCTTGAACTCACTATAGCCCGAGCAGGCTGTGAATCTCTGCCCTGCCTCAGCTTCCTCCACAGCTGGGATGACAGACCTGGCTAGCATTTCATCATCTTTCCCACAAGCCCCCCCTGCTGGGATGCTCACAGTGACTGAGATCTTGGCCTGCCACGGCTGCTTGTGGTAATCCGAGCCTTTCTTATGCTCCCACACCATGCCACAGAGACCCAGAGATTTGGTTTCATCTAGCGGAGAAAGAACGGTGAAGGCTCAGGTCCTGGCGGTCATCTTCGTTGGATCCCCTCTCCCTCCAACAAGGAGGAAGAGGAGTGGTCCCCTGTGTTAGACGGGGAACCCCTGTGGCGCAGTGAGGAACGCCTTAAAGCCAGTCTATCTGAGGACTGGGCGTTTCAGACCCAGTCTCGGCGAGCCCGTCTTGGCCTCAGTTTCCACATCCGTAAACTGAGCTCTCAGAGTTCTGTGACTGTGAGACCAGGAAATGAAGATCCTCGGGGAACAAGATGCTGGGGTGCACAGGAGGAAAGGGGGAAGGGGGGAGCCACTTTGCCAGGGCGAGGGAGGTCAGTGACAGAGTCTCCCTGCGTCTCCCTACCAATCATCTGGAAGAAAACGTCCTCCAGGCTCTCCATGTCCTTGACTTTGAACACGTGCTGCTCGTTGTCCTTTTTGGAAGCCAAGGCATTGATGTTCGCGGAGTCCACCAGAGGCCCGACCCCAAACACATACACATCTGAGGCAGAGAGAGGGGGGGTGAGGGTCCAGGCCCTGAGGGGTGAGAGTGCTGGATCCCAGCCGGGTCACTCACCCAAATAATCTTCCCGGGGATTCTTGCGATCCCTGCCAATGTCCAGCAGGTCTCGGATCTCCTGGATGACGGTGACAGGGTCTCCACCCATGTTGTACAAGCCTGTGGAAAACAAATGTGGGGACCACGGAAGTGGGCCCAGGGACAGACACTGGCTGGAGACAATCACGTGTGTACCCGGCGCAGGAGATGGGGGGATGGTGGGGTAGGAGAAAGGCCTCACCATCGGTCATGATGATGATGACGTGGCGGGTTCGGTTCCAGCCTTCCGGCGGGACATCATCTGGCCAGCTCATCATGCTGTATACAGCCTGGAGAGCCTTCTTGGTGTTGGTCCCCGACTTCAGCTTGTGGTCTGTATCGGGAAGAGGTCAAGCCCCTTGGCCCTCGGAAGCCTATGACAACCGGGAGCCCACAGTCTGTAACTTCTGCTCCGCTACGCAGACCGTGCTGGCCTGGAGCTCACCAAGGTCCGCCTGCCTTCTGGATGTTGGAGAGTAAAGGTGTACGCCACCAAGCCCTGCTGATCTTCACCTTTTGGGCTCTCCCAGCCTTCCCAGCAATCCCCATTGCTCAAGGACACCTTCGGTCAGCTTCTTTGCCATCTCTAGAGGGCCCCGAGCCTCTGGTCACTGCAGCCCCTACGAGCACCTCCCAGGTTTCCCTGCCCTGCCCTCTGACCTTCATAACTGATTTGGTTGAGCCTCTCTGTGACCCAGTCAGCGTCGCTGCTCTTGTCTTCAGACACTCTCACCAAGACTTTGGGGACTGTGGCGTAGGTCACTAGACCATATTTTGGCCTCACCCCATAGCTCGCCACCTGTGGGTGAGCAAGAGGTCACTGTGTTAGAAGAACAGCGTCCCCTGTCTCGAAAAACCAAAAAAAAAGAAGAACAGCGTCACGAGGACTCAGCGGGTCCTGTTGAGACAGGGCGGGCCAGGGTGAGGGCCAGGAGCTGCAGCTCTGGGAGGAGGCTGGGGGGACAATAGGACCCTGATGATCTGGGGACACAAGGCCAGGCTTGCAAGGGGCGTGAGGTCCCTCTTTTCAAAGGGAGGCAAAGCTCTGCTCTACCTTCTCAATCAAGTTCGCGAGACAGCGCTTGGCCCCCGTGAAGTTGCTGGCCCCGATGCTTTCCGATCCATCCAGCACCAGGTAGATATTCATGGAGCCCGAGGGGTCCAGGACGATCTTCCTCTTCTGGTACTCCCCTGGGCACCATCAGACACTCAGCTTCCGGCACGCATCGTCCCTGCCAGGTTACCTGCCCTCCCCCAGGTTCCCGCCCAACCTCCCTCCCAGTTCTCAAACCTGGACTGTGCCCATCCTCAGCATCGACCCCTTCTATGGTCTCTGTCAGGGAGGACAGGAACGCTTCTGCCACCTCCTCAGGGGTGTCGTACATGAAGGAATCTAGGGACGGCCAGAGAGGAGGTCGAATGTCGGTGGAGCTGAGGACACTCTGACAGGTTGCTGGGATGTCAGGCCAGGAGAGGCTTAGAGTTCAGAGAACCCACGGGGAGGTTTGGGAGGTGCGGGGGAGGAGCTAAGGTCAGGTGGTGAGAAAACAGCGTCCTCGAGTGGAGACAGCAGGGAAAAACCGGCCCACAGAGCAGCGGGTCAGGCGGCGTCACCTTGGCAGGAAGGCTCTGTCCCACTCCACGAGCCGCCTTCCTGGCACCTTCGCTGCTGGGAGCCACGCAGGACAAGTCCCCGGCTGCAGTGATAAGTGACAGTGTCTTCAAGGCGGTACTGGCTGCCCACCTTCCTTGTGCCAATGGGAATACCCGGGTTGGGACAGTATCCCGCTGCGGAGACATGAGGACAATTGGAGTGCCCATGCATTCCCAGGGCGAAGGGTAAAGTCGGGGTGACCTGCCAGGGCGAAGCCCTCGGGGGAAGGGTAAAGTCGGGGTGACCTGCCAGGGCGAAGCCCTCGGGGGAAGGGTAAAGTCGGGGTGACCTGCCAGGGCGAAGCCCTCGGGGGAAGGTAAAGTCGGGGTGACCTGCAGGGCGAAGCCCTCGGGGGAAGGGTAAAGTCGGGGTGACCTGCAGGGCGAAGCCCTCGGGGGAAGGGTAAAGTCGGGGTGACCTGCCAGGGCGAAGCCCTCGGGGGAAGGTAAAGTCGGGGTGACCTGCTCCTCACCTCCGTCATCACAGATAGCTGTTTGTCCGTCCCACCGGCCATTCGCTTGGCAGGTGCGGTTTGCCGAGCCCCGGAGAGTGTAGCCATTATAGCATTGAAAAGAAATCTGGTCACTCAGGTTGTAGTAGGGGGACCGGGGCCAGTAATCCCCGTTTTCAAAGTCCTGTGGCCGTGGGCAGCGTATTGCTTTAGGGGAAACAGGTAGAAGTCACCGAGGGCGGTTTCGAGTTCCTTCGCGTCACTGGGAAACAGTGCTGGCCCGGTCCCCTCAACCTGCTGTCCCTCCTTGTGTTTTGGGGACTGCTTTGTCTTGAGACAAGGTCTCATGTAGCCCAGGCTGGCTGACTCCAAACTCACGGTGAAGCTGAAGCTGACTTTGAGCTTCCGACCCTCCCGTCCCTACCTCCTGCGTGCTAAGATTACAGGCATGAACCACCACACCTGTTCCGCGTGTGCAGGACACCCACCCAGCTACATTCCAGGGCCGCCTGGCGTGAGGAGACGCTTGCCCCACGCACCCTCAGAGCTGTGCCCACCACTCAGCCTGCCAGCCACGCAGTCACCAAGCCCTGAGCAGCCCCCACCTGCCCTGCCCCTGCCGCCCACTGCTCCCAAGCCCCCAACCTCTGCACTCCGCCCTCTTGACGGCCTTTTGGTCTCGAGTCTGCAGGGCGCTCCAGGAGCCTGTGGCTTTGCAGGTTCGGGTCTGTACAGGGTATGGGTAGAAGCCAGAGGGGCACAGGTACTCCAGGGCCTGGCCACCCTGGAGAAGCTGGAAGGAGCCGCCTTTGATCTCTACTCCATCCAGAGGGCAGGCGGTCTGGGACCGGGCTGCAAGCACTGGAGTCGTGCTCACGCCTGCGGAGAAAGGGCTGGTGAAGCCCGGCCGCCCCCAACCCCCCCGGGAAGTTGAGACAGATGCTGGGGACAAAAGGCAGATGGGGTGTCCCTTGCTTACCTCCAGAGGAGAGGACTAAGACCAAGAGGACCAGGCAGGGTGGAGGACACAGATTGTTCCCCATCGTCACGGAGAACAAGAGCGAGAGGCCAGCGGCTGAAAGCCCTCTCCAGCTCACTCGGGTGTCCACTTGGCTCTCCGTCCCAGCTGAAACTGCAGAGCCCGCCCGCCCGGCCTGGCTACGCCCTTTCCCACCGGCCCAAGGCCTTTTATGCAATCTGCTCTGGCACCTGCAGTCTGGCTGGCCTGCCCTAAGCAGACACTGGTTTCCCGGAACATTCACGAAGGAGGGCCCCTGCTGAGCTGCCAACTGAGGAAACAGAAACTACCCCAGCCCTCTACTGGCCACGGTCCAGAACTTCCCTTCCAGAGCGCCCCCTCAGCCCCCAGACCCTCCAAACGAGCCCAGACCACCCCCCTTAGAGGCCGGCTTCCCGTGGACTGTGTGACGGAGCAGAGTCCAGCCGCTGTTTGTGCAGTGGGGTCTCTGACCTTCCTGGAATCTCTCTGGCCTCCCCACCCCCAAGACATAAGACAGACAGATGTGGAAATCGTTGGTTTTTATTAATTTCATAACTGGGAAATTCCGTGCGAGGGTGAAAAGCACAAGCCATGCACTCTAGGTTTGCTCGCAGGTAAAAGGTCGGACGGTGGTCCCGGGACAATCCCGGGGACTCCCCAGCTTTTGCCACCGTCTCTGGGTCCCCGGGGCCCAGGATTCATGTACCCAGGAGTGAGGACACTCAGAGGTAGTAGACAGGAGGGTCAGAACACACTAAAGGAGTCGGTGACCAATGTCAAAGGGGCAGAAAGTTCAGGACCCCATCCAGGTGCTGCCTCAGCCAGGGCTGCAGGCTGAAGAGGCTGATGTGGAAGTCTCGAGGTTCCACACCCGGGGGAGGCTTCCTGCGGGAGTTCTTGTTGGAGGAACCTTGACAAGGGTCATAAAGACCCCAGCTCACCAGGCCCACCTGGGGGACGAGACAACAGGGTTGGAGACAGTGGCAGCTCACTCCAAGATTCACGTGTCCGCCCCTCTAAGAGCTCCCCCTGACTCAGCGAGAAGCGCTTGTCCCCTGCCTGGCAGGCAGCCCCCTTCCAAGTCCCACTTCCCACCTGGAAAAACCTGTATCTCCGCTCAAGGAAAACCGCGCCCCCAGATTCTCCTGCAGGCAAAGAGGGGACAAGGTGTCAGGCAGCACTGCGGCTTCTCCCCGGAGTGCAGGGATGGCCTCTTCTTACCTTTGCAAGGATGGTCGTCCTCCTCCATCCCGCTGCACAGGAACTGGTCTGTCACCACCTCACTGACATTTGTCAAACTCGGGAAGAGATTTTTGTTTTGGGAGACGGCCTCGATACAGGTTGTCCGCTGCAGCATGGGGAGTAGGAGAGGAGAATACGCCAGGACACATCAGGCAGACCAGCAAGGCCCTGGAGACGGGGACACCCTAGGCAGGGCTGGGCATTCTGGGAGCCGCCCCCCCCGGGGGGTCCCTTACTGAGCTCTCACCTCCAGTCCTGTCCTGAGGTTCATGTTCAGTTCCTTCCCGTTCACAGCCACAAAATGTGCAGGGACTTTCTGCTGTTTCAGAAACTCAGTCTCTGCCATTGGAGAGAAGGGCGTGTCAGCCCCAGTCTCCTTACCCAGATGCCCGTACACGCATCCAGCTTGAGGACTGCAGCCCCGGTGCTAACCCAAGCTCTGGCCCCAACTCACCACGCACCGCAAGCCTTAGGACTCACCGTGCTCTCTGCAGGTGCCACCGGGGGGTCTCCGAAGAGCCACGTTGGCCTCCACAGTGCACGGAAGGCAGATCGGCCTGGGGAGAAAGGCGAAGGGTTGTCACACAGGCCCCTCCTCAGTATCCCCCATACCCCCCGGAACTTTCCAGAGCCCTGTCCTCTGTAGGGTGTCCTCCCACCCCGGGCGCAGGCACCTGGCATGGGTGGACATTTTCACTTTGTGGGCCAGCTTCAGCAGGGCAATATCGTCAGCATAGAACTCTGAGATGCCCTGGCTCTGCTTCGCACGGACATCGAAATCTGGGGCAATTATCGCCTTCTCCACAAGGAACTCTTTGCCGTGATGAGAGCTGGGATCCCCTGGGAATGGTGGCAGATTAGGGTGGACCAGAAGAGACCAAAGGCTGAGGAGAGCCAGTGACGACTCTGGCCTTGGGGTGCGGGGCCCTACTGCACCCCTGACTTACCCACGATGACCCTCCACAAGTGGCGGTCCTCCATCTGGGTGTCATGGAAGCAGTGAGCTGCTGTCAGAACCCACTGGTCAGAGACGAGGGACCCCCGGCAAGTCTCCTTGCTCTTGGGCTGCAGGGAGCAGATACCAATCAGGGGAAACAGGCCAGGCTGTTTTCAGCTCGGTGATGCAGGCGCCACCCGCCCCTCCTTTCCCGATACCTTAAAGATGACGTGCCAGGGTGTCCTCTCCTGGTCAGACGCATTGGCTGACATGTTCCCCACCCCACAGATGGTGTCCGTGAGCTTGGAGACATCTGTGGGTGAAGACCAGGTCGGGGAAGGAGGTAGGTGTGACGGGCACGGGTCCAGGCTGGCAACTCTGAGCCCCCAGCCGACCGACTCCCCACTCTGTCCCGCGCTGCCGAGGAGAGGACAAGGCTTCACTTACCCAGCATGTGCTCGAAGACCTGCTGCACCGCCCGCGCGTCCTGCAAGATGAAGGCGTGCCTCTCCCCGTCCTTCTTGGACCCCAGCTCATTGAGCTCCCTCCAGTCCACATCCAGGTTGCCCACTCCAATAGCATAGATGTCTGGGGGCGGGGGGGGGGGGGAGGCAGAGGTCACCAGGGCCCGTGGCGGGAGGCCACCCAAGACCAGGAGCGGGTACTTGGACTCACCAAGCCGACACAGAGACCCGAATTAGGCGGACTCTGCCCCCTTCGCCCCTGTCTAACTTCCTCTCCCTTTGCCAACACCACCCGACCCTAGCCCTGCACAGACAGCTTCCTGGAAGCCCCTCAAACCACAGGCACACTTTGCTCAGGCCCCTGCTCCTCTGGCTGGGACACTCTTCCTCCAGGTATTCACACAGCTCTTTGTCACCAAGGTCTTCTAAACCTGCAGTGACCCAGACCCACCCCCCCTATGCCCTCCCCATTAGACTTTACAGCACGGGTCTTTTGCCTGGTATTAATTAGCAGCACTCAGGAGGTGGGAGCAGGAAGATCAGGAGTTCAAAGCCAGGCTCAGCTACCTAGTGACTTAGAGGCCAGCACAGGCCTGTCCCATGAACAAAACAAAAGAGAGGCGGGGAGCTGGCTCAGCGGCCAAGGGTACCTGCTGCTCTAGCAAAGGACCTGAGCTCGTTCAGCACCCACTGCCTATAACTCCAGCTCCAGGGGAGGCGATGCCCTCTCCTGGCCTGCAGGGGCACTCACACTCATGCGGCACACACTCACAGAGAGACAAATATATTCATAACAAAAGAAATCAGAGCCGGGCGGTGGTGGCACACGCCTTTAATCCCAGCACTCGGGAGGCAGAGGCAGGTGGATCTCTGTGAGTTCGAGGCCAGCCTGGTCTACAGAGCGAGTTCCAGGACAGCCTCCAAAGCCACAGAGAAACCCTGTCTCGAAAAACCAAAAAAAAAAAAAAAAAAAAAAAAAAAAGAAATAATCAGAGGGCAGGGGATGTAGCTTGCTTGGTGGGCACAACACTGCAGGAAATACATAGGAAATCTGAACGCAAACACAGCCAGCTGGACACCATGGCAGCGGGACAGAAGTTGGGGCGAAGACAGAGACAGAGGCTGGGGTTTTGCAGCCACAAGCCAAGGACACCTGCAGCCACCAGGCCTCCACATAGCAAGACCCTGTCTCAAAAAGAAAGCAACAACAACAACAAAAAATGTGATTGTTTTCTGGTCATAGGTTAGTACACTTTGGGGTCACTCTAAACCTGAAGAGTTACCTCGCCTACCAATGAGTCACCTAGGTGTCCACTGCTGAAGGGACACTGGAGGGGACAGTCCCCACTGGGAACCCAGGCCAGTTCTTCCTGCAAAGCTTCCTGAAATATGAGACGGTAAGGACGCGGAGTCTGGCAGCGTGAGCAGTTCCCTGCTGCAGATCACATCTCCATTGGCATCGTGCCCCACCCGCCCGTGAGAGCAGGTCCACTGCCCACGGCGTCACTCATCGCAGACGAAGAAGCAGCCCATGGTCCCCGTCCTCTGGAGATGGCACCGGCGTGGGGACCACGGACAGTTTGGTACCCGACTCTTCCACATGATACTCAGCCACTGTCACACAGAACTTCTGGGGAACCCGCATGGCTCAGAGCCAGTGCTGAGTGACACTGGACCCACACACACACACAGAGGAGCCCGCCCCCACCCCTGCTGACAGCTTGGACGGGGCAGAGCCTCACCCAGATAGTCGTTCCTGTTCTGATTGATATCCAGGATATTTCTGATGTTGTCAACCGCTGGCTTGGGAGAGCCACCCATGTTGGACTTTCCTAGAAGAGAGAAAGGGAAAGAAGGCTCCATGCAGGTTGAATTCAGAATTTTCTCACAGCCCTAGAAACATGGGGGACGTTCAGCCACTTTAAAACACGCGGCTTGGGGCTGGAGAGAGGGATCCGTGGGTAAGAGCACTGGTTGCTCTTCCAGGGGACCCCGGCGGGGGGGGGTTCAGTTCCTAGCAACCACGTGGTGGATCATGGTCTTCTAGAACTCCATTCCCAAGGGATCCAGGGGATCCAACGCTCTATTCTGACCTCCACGGGCACTAGACTGACACATAACGCACATACATACATGCCACCAGCAAAAAACGAAACAAACGCATGAACACTACGTTTCTGTGCAGCAAAGCACACAACTCACAGAGTGGGGGGGAGGGGCAGAGCAGCCAGACGAGGGACCAACTTGCAGAATTTACAAAGAACTGGAGAAATTAGGTACTAAGAAAATAAAACGTCCAATCAATAAACGGGCAAATGAACTGAATAGACAGTTTTCAAAAAAGAAAAAGAAATACAAAAGGCTAATAACTATTTTTAGCCCAGTATCCCCACTCCCCAGGGAAATGGGAATTAAAAACTACGTTGAGATAATCATTTCACCCCGGTCAGAATGGCTGACACCAGCAAATCTCACAACCAGTCTGGAGAGGATGCAGAGAGAAAGGACCCACTAATCGTTAGTCAAGATGCAAAGGAATCCAGCCGGTGTGGAAATCGTGTTGGACATTTCTCAAAAAGTTAAAAGCATAACTACCACATACCCAGCTATTTCACTCTTGGGCATATATACCCAAAGAATACCAGTAAAGCAGAGAATTGGACTCAACCTTGTTGTCCATCAACAGATGAGTAGTTCATGAAAAATCATGTGTGTGTGAGAACATTATTCAGTCCTAAGGAAAAATGAAGCCGCAAAATTCGCAGGAAAATTAATGAACTTAGATTGTATACTATTAAGAGATATCACACGGGGCTGGAGAGACGGCTCAGAGCGCTGACTGCTCTTCCAGAGGTCCTGAGTTCAATTCCCAGCAACCACACGGGGGCTCACAACCACCCGTAATAATGCTCTCTTCTGGCCTGCAGGCATACATGCATACAGAACACTGTATACATAACAAACAAATAAATAAATCTTTAAAAAAGAGAGAGAGATATCACACAATATCAGAAAGAAAAAATCACATGTCCTAGCGAATAATTACATGTATGTATGTAAACAAATGTACATCTGTGTACAGTATAACACTGGAAAGCTAACATTACGGAATGAGAAAAGACAATGAAGGCAATGGACACGGGTTACGAAAGAGGAGAAGGTCAACAGTTTCCTGCCCTACTCTGGTTTTGGTGACCAGCAAGTGAATAAACATGTGTCCGATAGTGACTGTGTAAAGTCCACGGTGAAGATCCACAGCTTCTGTTCTGAGTGGCTGCTCCAGCTGTAGGAAGTTCATCGAGTTGCCGGGCGGAGGCGGTGCACACGCCAGCACTCGGGAGGCAGAGGCAGGCGGATCTCTGTGAGTTCAAGGACAGCCTGTTTCACAGAGTGAGTTCCGGGACAGCCAGCTGCACAAACAAACCTTGTCTCAAAAACAAAAAACAAAAAAAAAGTTCATTGAGTTGATGAATGGCTATTCTAGCCGTTGAGTTGTAGAGTCTTTGGGTCTGGTTAATTTCAGTGCGTGTGAGCGAGCGTGCGTGCGTGCGTGCGTGCGTGTGTGTGTGCGCGCGCGTGTGTGGTTCCAGGACAGCATGGGGTACTGGATGAGACAGTCTCAAAGCAACCAGGGGGAGGGGGAGAAAAAGCAAGAAGCTGAGTCTTGCCTTTACAGCACATACAGTAGAAATTAGAAAAACAGAGAAGGGTCGCATGGCCCTGCGCTTGGACTGAGAGCAGTTTTGAAGTCTCCAGTATCACTCTGGGATCACGTAACCCAGCAAGATAGTCAAGGATACTGCAGAATCGTGCTAGAGAAGCTTGCGTGTTTCCAACACGAAGAAATGAAGAATGGCTGAAGTGACAGATACGCCAATGCTCCATCCCTCCACACTGTGTACATGTGCTGGCCTGCCACACTGTAGCCCACAAACACATATGATGACTGTGAAATGCACACACACACACACACACACACACATATATATATGGAGAGAGAGAGAGAGGTTATGGGCTGGGTGTCCCCACATGCTTCTAATTCCAATCACTTAGCACACTGAAGCAGGAAGACCATGAGTTCAAGGTCAGCCTGGGCTACAGAGCATGACCCAGTCTTAAAAAAAAAAAGGTAGGCCGGGCGGTGGTGGCGCACGCCTTTAATCCCAGCACTCGGGAGGCAGAGGCAGGCGGATCTCTGTGAGTTCAAGGACAGCCTGTTTCACAGAGTGAGTTCCGGGACAGCCAGCTGCACAAACAAACCTTGTCTCAAAAACAAAAAACAAAAAAAAAAAGTTCATTGAGTTGATGAATGGCTATTCTAGCCGTTGAGTTGTAGAGTCTTTGGGTCTGGTTAATTTCAGTGCGTGTGAGCGTGCGTGCGTGCGTGCGTGCGTGTGTGTGTGTGTGTGTGTGCGCGCGCGCGTGTGTGTGGTTCCAGGACAGCATGGGGTACTGGATGAGACAGTCTCAAAGCAACCAGGGGGAGGGGGAGAAAAAGCAAGAAGCTGAGTCTTGCCTTTACAGCACATACAGTAGAAATTAGAAAAACAGAGAAGGGTCGCATGGCCCTGCGCTTGGACTGAGAGCAGTTTTGAAGTCTCCAGTATCACTCTGGGATCACGTAACCCAGCAAGATAGTCAAGGATACTGCAGAATCGTGCTAGAGAAGCTTGCGTGTTTCCAACACGAAGAAATGAAGAATGGCTGAAGTGACAGATACGCCAATGCTCCATCCCTCCACACTGTGTACATGTGCTGGCCTGCCACACTGTAGCCCACAAACACATATGATGACTGTGAAATGCACACACACACACACACACACACACATATATATGGAGAGAGAGAGAGAGGTTATGGGCTGGGTGACCCCACATGCTTCTAATTCCAATCACTTAGCACACTGAAGCAGGAAGACCATGAGTTCAAGGTCAGCCTGGGCTACAGAGCATGACCCAGTCTTAAAAAAAAAAAAGGTAGGCCGGGCGGTGGTGGCGCACGCCTTTAATCCCAGCACTCGGGAGGCAGAGGCAGGCGGATCTCTGTGAGTTCCAGGCCGGGCTGGACCAACAGCCTCCAAAACAATACAGAGAAACCCTGTCTCGTAAAAAACAACAACAACAACAACAAAAAAGGTAAGGCACGGTGGCCCACACCTTTCGTCCCATAACTCAGGAGGCAGAGGCAGGTGGATCTCTGTGAGTTTGAGGCCAGACTGGTCTACAGAGTGAGTTCCAGCCAGGGCAACACATAGAGAAACCCTGTCTCAAAACCAAACAAACAAAAAGACCAAGTGAGTCCCCGTGGCAGAAAGACAACTGGAACACAAGACTTCAGAACCTGCTCTGCCACCACCCACTGCTGCCAGCCCCTCCTCCTGCAGAGAGGGCGACACCCACCGTCTGTCAGCAGGATGATGGCATGGCGGATTTCATGCAGGGCAGAGACCCCCAGGTTGAAGCGGGCTATCATGTTGTTTATCATGAGGTAGACGCTGTCCAGAGCCTTGTAAATGTTAGTTCCGGAGGCGTTCCTGTGATCTGGAATGTGCCAGAAGAAAAATCTCTTGAAAGCAAAAACAAATAACCAAGTACCAAAAACTCTGCACCTGCTGCCTGGGAATGGGGCGATCTGTCTGTCTGAGAGACCACCGGAAACGCACATTGCCAGTGTCTGAATAACTCAGATAGTTTGGATGTCTTTTCAAACACTTTGGCTTTTCTGCCTTACAATGTTCATCGCAGAAACAGAGAGGATGGCGCACGCCTTTAATCCCAGCACTCGGGAGGAGGCAGAGGCAGGAGGATCTCTGTGAGTTCGAGGCCAGTCTGGTCTACAGAGCACATTCTGGGTCAGCTGGGGCTACACACTGAGTCCTTGTCTTAAAATAAAAATGGAAATACTCCTCTCTCCCTCCCTCCCTCCCTCCCTCCCTCCCTCCCTCCCTCCCTCCCTCCCTCCCTCCCTCCCTCCCTCCCTCCCTCCCTCCCTCCCTTGCTCCCTCTCTCTCTCCCTGCTAAAGTATCTCATGTAGTCCAGGCTGGTCTCAATTTCCATAGGTAGCCAAGGATGACCTAGGGTATGGGAATTATGTGGCGCTGGGGATGGAACCCAGTGCATGCTGGGCAAATCCACCACCGGCTGAGCCACACCTCCAGGCCCCGCCCTTCCGGGACCTCACCCAGCAGATGACAATCAAACCTTCATAGCAGGCTTTTCCCAGACTGTGGATCACCTCCACCCCATCCCGGGACTTCTCGCTGAGCACCGACAGGACGGTCTTGGGCTCGGAAGCAAAAGTGATGATAGCGACACTGACCTTGATCTCAAAACTGAAGATCTGTAGAGGGCAGAGAGAGGTGGTGTGGGGGCAGGTGTCAGGCCAATGGAACGGCAGCAGGCCTGAGAGACAGCAGAGCATGCGCGCAGGCTGAGCTGACAGGCGAGGCCCAGCCTTGAAGAAGCCAAGGGAACGACGCACGCCAAGCATGCACATGCGCTCTGACAGAGTCCTCTTCTCACCCACATGTCAGTCAGCTCAGAGATGGCCCGTGATGAGCGCGCCCATCTCACAGTCAAAGAAACTGAGCCTAGCGGGCAGTGGTGGCGCTCGCCTTTAGTCCCAGCACTCGGGAGGCGGAGGCAGGTGGATCTCTGTGAGTTCGAGGCCAGCCTGGTCTACAGAGCTGCACAGTGAAACCCTGTCACACACACACACACACACACACACACACACACACACACACACACACACACAAAACCAAAGCCAAAACCAGTTACATAATAAAAGACATGATCATACACACTGACCTCGCGGTTCTGGTGGCCTGGGGAGACTTCTAGAAGGAGATGGGTTGAGTGGGACTCTGGACAGGGAGGGAAACCAACAGGGCAGGGAAGGACCACTGCCCAGGCTCTCAGATTCTCACCCTGTCCACCATGAGGGAGGCGCTTTCCTTGAAGATCTCGAAGTCTTTCTCTGACACACTCTGGGATGCATCGAGCAGCAGATAAAGGTTCAGGCGACCCGAGCGCTGGATTTGGATTCTACGGCCCAGACTCTCTGAAGGAAACAAGAGACACAGCGATCACGGATGCTTACCCCGCACCCCGCACCCCGCACCCCACCCTGGGCTCGGATGCCCACCTCTATCCAGTGCTACGACCAGGGCCCTCCAGCTCCCAGCACCCAGGCGGCTCGCCTCTCTCCTGCCCCATCCAGGTCCCTCCCCCAGTACTCACTCACCCGTTGTCCTCTTCTGGGTGGGGTTGGTGGCCCCGAGCAGGTTGGTGAAGGAAATGCCTAAGGCAGAGGCCACATCCTCAGGGAAGTCGTAAGAGTATGGCTCTGTGGGGAGGGTCACGCGAGGGTCAGCCAAGGCCAGACCCGGGTGTGGAGTCCCAGGGGGACACGGAGGGAGGGCACTCACGTCGGCAGATGGGTTCCGCCCCGCTCCACATCCCGTTGCTCTGACACTCCCGCTCAGCCGAGCCGGTCAGGAGCAGACTCGGGGAGGAGCACCGGTAGCTGACCTTGTCCCCCAGGTCGAACCGTGAGCCTGTGCGCACTGCGCCCACTGAGACGCCCGGGTTGGGGCAGTGACCGGCTGCAAGGGAACAAAGTCAGGTGAAGGGGTAAAGGGTTCCTTTAGACACCAGAAGCATCGGGACCGCCGCGTGGCTGGAGACCGGACATAGCCCATAGCACTCAAGAGTTCAAGGCCTCAGCCACCCACGGGGCACTCCAGTCCTGATCCCCGAATTGTCGGCCCATACACCATGAGAACAGTGGGGACCCTCAACCTAGAGGCGACTCCAGGTGCAGTGAGGGCGTGGGACAGCCAGAGCTCTGTTTAAACAGCAGGAATGTCCAACTGTGGGAACCCCGGGAACCGCTGAACTTGTCACTCCAGAGGACGAAGTCTGGGGCGGGGGGGGGGGGGAGCAGTTTCCAAAACCTCACCCTTTGCAGCCCCGGACACGACATCACTCGGGTATGCAACAGGACGACAATGATGCTGTGTAAGGTGTTGGTGTGTGTAATGGAATACTGTGCAGTTTAAAACAGAGAGAGGACCATGGACCCTCACAACAGTCACGGTTCTCAAAAGCGAAGAGCTGAGCAGAGACGGTGGCTGGAGAGACGGCTCAGAGGTTAGGCGCACACCGGCTGCTCTTCCAGGGGACCCGGGTTCGATTCCCAGCACCCACACGGCAGCGGCTCACAGCCACGTGTAATGGCAGCCTCTACGTAGACCAAGCTGGCCTCAGACTCAGAGGTCCACCTGCCTCAGCCTCATGGGCACTGGCATTAAAGGGTAGCTGAATAAGTACATAATTTTTAAGAGATTTATTTATTTATTATGTATGCAGTGTTCTGCCTACACGCCTGAAGAGGGCGCCAGATCTCATTACAGGTGGTTGTGAGCCACCGTGTGGGTGCTGGGAATTGAACTCGGAACCTCTGGAAGAGCAGCCAGTGCTCTTAACCTCTGAGCCTTCTCTCCAGCGCATAAATACATATTTTTTAAGTTTTCCTACTGTGGAGTTTGGAGCACAGCTCAGTGGTGGAGTGCTTGCCTGGCATTCCAGAAATCCCGTCCACAGACTCCCACAGATTGGCACACTTTAAATACAGGGAGGTTCTGTGTCGAATTTAAAACAAGTTGTATTTATGTTCCAATAAATGGCTATTTGGGAAAGACTCAAGAGCGTGAGTGAAGAGTCACTGCCTGGGGAGCTGGGTGAGGGCGTGGTCCCGCTACCTAGGGGACGCTGCTTTCTCTGTGACAGCGGCGACGCTGGACGTGGCGGTGTGCACTGTGGTGGCTAAGGCCAGAAGATGAGGAGTTCACGGGCGTTTGAGGCCAGTCTGTGTGGGGAAGACCCACACGCCGCTAAGCCAGGGCCAGGGCCTCGGACAGCACAGCCAAGGCAGCGGGCGGGCTCTCCCTTCCCCAGCAGCCCCTCTGCTCCCTTGCTGAGTGATTTCAGCCCGGATGACCCACCCGACACTCTTTTATCTCTCTCTCTCTCTTTTTGGGGGGGTCTTTCAAGACAGGGTTTCTCTGTGTAACCCTGGCTGTCCTGGAACTCTCTCTGTAGACCAGGCAGGCCCTGAACTCACATAGTTTTTTGTTTTTGTTTTTTTTAATATTATTTATGTGTGTGTGTCTGTATTATTCATGTGTCTGTCTGTCTGTACTATTTATGTGTCTGTCTGTTTGACAGCTGGACAAGAGAGAGCATTGGATCTCCCTGGAGCTGGGGTTGGTTACTGGCCGCGAGCCGGGTGCGCTAGGAACTGAACCCTAACCGCTGAGCTGTCTTGAAAGCCCCACTAATCCCATTTGCAGATGTGAAAACAGAGGCCCTGGAAGGGTAAAGGCGCCGAGTCCAACACTCGGCTCTCCGTGTCTCCCTCGGGTCTCGCCTGTGATACCTCGTGGGGGCTAAGTGCAAAGTGTTGTCATGATGCGTTTAGAAAAGCGGACTGAGCAGGTCTGGCGGCGCGCGCCCCTAGTCTGAGCTCTCTGGAGCCTGAGAGTGCGGGGAGTTCAAGGCCATCCTGGGCTACAGAACGAGCCCCCAGTTCAACCTGGGCTGGCGTGAATCAAAGGATGGAAGGGAAGAAAGAAGTAAGGGGGGGAGGGGGAAGAAAGAGAGGAAAGGCTGAAGGGGTGCGTAGAGCCATCGGGTCAGAGGTGGCACCTAGCAGCAATTGCCTGGACCGGGCTCCCCGATTGTCAGTGACGCGTGGCGCAGAGACCTCAGCCCGCCCCAATCCAGGAATATTACTGCGCCACCGACAGCGGCATGCCTCTGTCCCCACAACAGCTTCTGCAGCTGCGGGCCCCTCCACCCCCCACCCCACCCCACCCCCGCTGAGAGGGGAGCACTTACCCCCAGTGTCACACACAGCTGTCTCCCCGTCCCACACGCCATTGAGGCGACAGTACCGCACGGGCGAGCCCCTCAGCGTGAAGCCGGAGTCGCACTGGAAGCTCAGGTTGCCACCCACAGGGTGGGACCCCAGCCGAGGGGTGTACATGCCGTTCTCAAAGGAGGCAGGGGCCGGACAGCGAACAGCTGCGGGGAGAGAGGGGGAGCCCGGTAAGGGCGGAGGACGGCTAACACGCAGGCCAGGCGCGCGGGGGGAGCGGAGCGGGCCTTCTGCTGGACCCCGACTCGGCCAACTGGCTGCAAAAACGTGGAAGGTTCCTGGTGCGGTGCAGCCCATAATCCCAGCACGTGGGCAGCCGAGGCAGCAGAGTCCTCGAAGCTCAAGGCCCGCGAGGCTGGCAACGCGGTGAGTTTGAGGCCAGCCCAGACTATGCAGCAAAACACAGTATCAAGAACAAAATCAGGGCCCGACGATGGTGGCGCACGCCTTTAATCCCAGCGCTGGGGGAGGCAGAGGCAGGTGGATCGCTGTGAATTAGAGGCCGGCTATGCAGAGGAACCCTGTCTCTGAAAACCCAGAAAAAAAAAAATCAGAAAGGGGCCTGGAGAGATGGCTCAGAGGTTAAGAGAACGGACTGCTGCTCTTCCAGAGGTCCTGAGTTCAGTTCCCAAAACCACATGGTGGCTCACAGCCATCTGTAATGAGATCTGGTGCCCTCTTCTGGTCTGCAGACATACATGGAGGAAGGATGTTGTATTCATAATAAATAAATAGCCGGGCAGTGGTGGCGCACGCCTTTAATCCCAGCACTCGGGAGGCAGAGGCAGGCGAATCTCTGTGAGTTCGAGGCCAGCCTGGTCTACAAAGTGAGTTCCAGGACAGCTTCCAAAGCTACAGAGAAACCCTGTCTCGAAAAAACCAAAAAAAAAACAAAAACAAAAACAAAAACAAAAAAACATACTAAATAAATCTTTAAAAAAAAATCAGAAAGGTCGGGTGGGCGTGTGGTGGCGCACACCCAGCGCTCGGGAGGCAGAGGCTGGTCGACCATGCAAGTTTGGATCAGGCCTGGGCTACAGAGTGAGTTGAGTCTGTCTCAAAAAAAAAAAAATCCCGGGCTGGAGAGATGGCTCAGTGGTTAAGAGCAATGATTGTTCTTCCAGAGATTCTGAGTTCAATTCCCGGCAACCACATGGTGGCTCAAAACCACCTTGAGTGAGATCTGATACCTGTAGACAGAAGGCTGTATACACAATAAATAAATAAAATATTTTAAAAAAAATCCCCAAAGCCAAACATGGTGGCTCATGTGTGTCAAACCAGCACTGGAAAGATGGGATCCGGAAGCAGGAGTTTAAGCTCACCCTCAGTGAGTTCAAAGCTCGCCTTTGAAATCAAATCACATGCAGTTGGCAGGTTCAAAACAAAAATAATTAATCAAAATAGGACTGGGAACATTAACTCCTCAGGAGAGTGCCGGCCAAGTATAGTAAGACTCTAATTTCCAGTTGAAGCACCAAAAAGAAAAAAAAAGTCAGAAAGTAGATTGAAACATAAAATTGTTGTTTCAGGCAGCTGGCTAAATGCTGTCAACTTCAAACAGCTAGGCCTAACTGACTGGTAGCTGACCACCTGCGGTTACCCCAGCCTCTCACCAAGGACACTTGTGTTCAGGGTGCTCCAAGGCATTCGGCACCCATTTGGGATAGCGAGTAATCCTACAGCGAATTTTACCTTTAAAAAAAATAAAGACATTGAACTTTTTCTGTGTTTGTTGGTTTGGTTTGGTTTTTGTGGTTTTCTGGGGCTCTTTGTTGGGGAGGGTTGTTTGTTTGTTTGTTTTTGGAGACAGGGCCTCGTTTTACAACCCTGGCTGGCCCAGAACACATTGTGTAGACCAGATTGGCCTCAAACTCACAAGAGATTTGTCTGCCTCTGCGTCCCTTCCTCCCTAATACTGGAATTAAAGATGTGAGTCACTGTGACCCGCTTGCTTTTTCCAGTATTTTGAAAGCCTGCCTCTCTCTCTCTCTCTCTCCCTCTGTCTCTCTGTCTCTCTGTCTCTCTTTCTCCCCCTCCCCCAGTACCCGGGAACCCCCTGCTCATAGGTCTGGCACTGGCGGACTGGCAGGCCCTTCCCAAGCCCAGAGGGACTCACGTTTGCAGACGGCTCTAACGAACCGAGGGGACCGCAGAGTGGACGTCGGGCTGGTTCTTGGGGTCTGCCACTGCCCGTTGCTCTGGCATCGTCTCCAGGCTGGGACTGGGTAGCTGCCCGGGGGGCAGGTGTAGGTGAGGAGGCTCCCAGGGGCCCAGCCATGGCTGAGGGTGAAAGTGCCACCGGATATATTGACATTCTGAGGGCAGGGGACAGCGGCCAGGCCTGAGGCAAAGGAAAACAGCCCGGATGAGAGAGGGGCTGAGAAGCTGGCTGTCTCCCTCTCGACCCAGCAGCCGCACCCGCCACGCCCACAAGGCCCCATAGCCTTGTTCCCTGCCTCCTACCTGGGCACAGCAGCAGCAGGCCGAGGGGAGCCAGCAGAGGGGACATGGTGTCAGGACCGGACAGCTGAGAGCCAGGGGAGAGGAAAGGTCATCTGACTTCCCGAAACCACGCTGGGCTGAGCAGGCTCCGCTGCCAAAGACTCAAAAGGCGGGAGAGGCGGGCGGGCGGGCGGGCCGCGGTCCTGCAGGAGGAAAAGAGGGGAGACACCACCTGAGGGACTAGGGATTCAGTGTTGGAGGCTGAAACTTTTGCCCTGCCCCTTCACTCCGGGTCATCATAGTCGATAGATTGTGCACGCTTCTCCCAAGTGGGTACACACCCACGCCACACACGTGTGCGCGCATGCGCACATGCACACACACACACACACACAAGCACACACACCTGGTCTTGTGTGGATCTTGTTAAGCACACAAACCCACAAACCTTGCAAGAGATTTTATTTATGTTGTTTCATTTCCTTTCGTTGTTGGCCACAAGGATCTGTCCCCTGGGTCTGTTGGGTCTTCCTCAATAAGCTTCTGAGGAATCGAAACCGATCTTTTTAGAGCATCTTGGCATACGGGAAGGTTCACATTCCGTCCTGGGTCTTTCCCTGAAAACAGGAGGAAAAGAAAGTAAACAGTTACTTGCAAAGTCGGGGAAAAACGCTTGGAAATTTTTCTTTTCTTGTTTTTTTTTTTTTTGAACATCTAGCAGATAAAATTTTCAGCTTGTAAAAAAAAGGGGGGACTGGGGGTTGGGTCAAAAGAATAGCAGTATTTCCTAGTTTAAGATACATTTTATTTTTAAACTGGAAAAAACCTTTTTTCATACGTTTTATATTTTAATATATTTTTCTCCTCTGAGACAGGGTCTCACATAATCCAGACTGATTTAGGATTTGCTAAATAGTTGAAACTAGCATTGAAACTCCTGATTCTCCTGCCTCTGTCTCCCAAGGTTACAAACTTTGGTTACTATACAGGGTACCCAGCCATGGAAAAGTTTGTTTCAAGATAGAGTCTTACTATGTAGATTTAGCTGTCCTGAAACTCACTCCTTAGACCAGGCAGGCATTGAACTCACAGAGATATCCCGGCCTTCGCCTCCAAGTGCTGGTATTAAAGGCGTGGGCCATTCTCACTATGCCCTGCCCAGCCGTGGAGAATGTAAGGCACTGTATTAGCCTATTGTCCCTCATGAGCTTATATTATAGTTAGTGTTCTTGTAGCTATAACAAGGTCAAGGCAAGAACCGTCCCACCTCCACCCCAAGAAATCCGTCAGATCAGAGACAAAAATATCAATGGTTTCTATTCCTTCTGTTTCGTGTGTGGTGTGTGTGTGTGTGTGTGTGTGTGGCGTGTGTGTGTGTGTGTGGTGTGGTGTGTTTGTGTGTGGTGTGTGTGTGGTGTGTGTGTGTGTGGTGTGTGTGTGTGTGGCGTGTGTGTGTGGCGTGTGTGTGTGTGTGTGTGTGGCGTGTGCACATGTGTTTGCACCTCTGGCGGTCAGAGGACAATCATGGGTGTAACTCCTCAGGCCCCTTCCACCTGTTGCTTGAGACAGAGTCTCTCACTGGCCCGGAACTTTGCCAAATAAACCAGATGAACTCAGCAGGGAGCTTCAGGGACCTGCCTGTCTCTGCTCCTGGATTACGAGAGGGCAATGCCGCATCCAGGCGCCCACACTGAGGTCCTCACACTTGCAAGCATTTTAGCAACCTCGCCTTCTGTCCGGCCCCCATTTTCCTGAGACTGGGACCCACACCGCCAGCGCTGGCCTCCAACTTGCTGCGTAGCAGAGGCTGGGCTTGAATCCCTGAATCTCCTGCCTCCACCTCCCACGTGCTAGGATTACGGCCACCTTTGCACACACCGCTCTTGGAGCCTCAGAAAAGGACAGTGTCTGGCTTCTGGTCCCTCCAAGCCACCGTCCCCTGTAAGCCCAGATGCCAGGTTCCATGCTGAGACTTTTTTTTTTTTTTTGCAACACAACACATTGCCTTTATTTCGGTATGCATCCACATTTCAACAATTAGTGGTCCTGAACAGAGTGGGGAACACGGCCACGAGCCAGGAGGTCAGGCAGATCTGAAAACTCATGACACAGAGCTCCTCCAGGTCCCTGCCGAGGGTCTGAGGAGCAGCAACCCCGGAACCTGAGTCTGCAGGGTCGAGGCCTGTGTTCCAGCTGTCAGGCTCCACGTCAGACCTGACGGGTGGCCAGGGCATCCTGTCCAAACCACTTCAGTCTGTAAAGCAAAGCGGCTACGAGAAAGCCACCGACTCAGTGCCCTGTCTGTGTGCTGACAACTCCCCGCACGGCCTTCCTTAGGCCCTGAGCGCTGGCGGGTTTGTCCCAGTGACTGACTGCTCTGTTCACCTCGAGATCTGAGCTCAGAGCGCATAGGCTGATGGTGGCAGCGGGAACCCCCTTCCCAGGCTAGTGAACGCGTGGTCCAGAGCTGAGGAGGAGGCCAGGCCGTCCCAACCTCACCTCACGGCTCTGGCCACAGCAAGTGTGGGTAGTGATGGGTAATGGGGGAGTTGAGGGGGGAGAGCAGCTCCCCTTGACGAAGGTGGGGAGACAGGAAGCCCTGAATTCCTCACCCACGGCCAATCTCAGAGGGAGGGGAGGCTTGCAATCTAAGCTTTGGCCAAGGGCAGGAGTGGGGGAGCAGAATGGGGGGGGACAATGGCTTGGAAGGGGCATCACTGAAGACTTCAGAAAGCAGGGGTGAAGCCAAAGCACCCCCAAGCCCAGCAGTCGCCCCACGGCTGCCACCCGAAGCCTTCCCGTCTATTCTAAGGGCTACCCCACAGCTGTGGCGGGGAGGGGGCGGGGGGGGGGGGGCAAAGGCAGACCCAGGCCACGAGTCAGCGGCGGGTGATTGACTTGTCTGCTCACAGTCGCGTTAGCCGTGCCTGCCGCTCCCGAAGGAAACCGATTTCAACACCGCTTCTTGATCCCAGACGTTCAACCAGGCAGCCAGCGGTTACACTCGACAGATGTTACACAGCGCAACTTAGGTATGTCAAATGGCCAAGAAATGAGTATCAGAACAGTGTCTCAGGATGAAGGCCGAGTGGAGCATCCTCTCCAGTGCTTTGAGGTCTGCAAGATGATTCTAGAAAATCCACTACTGTCGAAAATGAAGACTTAGGTTGGATTGGGGAGGGGAGGCCGGGGCCTTGGTGACGAGTTGCTGTGACACTGTCCTTCTGGCGGCTGTGGCAGCCTCATGGTCTCTATTTATGTATGTATGTATGTATGTATGTATGTATGTATGTATGTATACAGTGTTCTACATGTACGGCCACAGGCCAGAAGAGGGCGCCAGGTCTCATTACGGACGGCTGTGAGCCACCATGTGGTTGCTGGGAATTGAACTCAGGACCTCTGGAAGACCAGCCAGTGCTCTTAACCGCTGAGCCGTCTCTCCAGCCCCCCATGTTCCCTTTTGACGTCATCAGGCGCCGAAGCTCCTGCAGGGTGACTTCGATGCTGTGGGGATTCTGCCATTTTGCCAGCACCGCCGTGGCCCTTGGGTCCACCACTCCACTGGAACTACTCACGCCGCTCATACTGACTTTTGTTACAAATCACAGATGGGGGCGCTTCTGGGTACTTAGGTCCACATTCTATTTTAAGGCTGTATATTCGCTCGGTTTTCATAAATTGTTCTTGGAGGCCCAATTATCATCCTGTCCATCTCCTAAGTGTCATGTCTTCCTCGTCCCCTAGACCCCGGGTAACTGTGCCGTCGCCTCCTCCTTTCTGGCCTCCTTCCAGCTCTCCCAACAGTCGGAAATTTCAAGGGACTTTCCCTCCCCAGCCTGTGGTGGCTGCCATCTTGCATCGCGCCCACGCTGAGGCTTCTGACGTTGTCCACTGCACCAGCTTCCCAAGGAGAAAGCAAACCTGGGACTGGGTTCTCGGGCCTCCCGAGGTCTGCGCTTGACCTGCTGTGAGGAGCCACACCCCTCTCAGACAGCAGCTGGACCTGAGTGTGACACCTGCACGTCACCCACACCTGCACGTCACCCACACCTGCTCGTCACCACCCACACCTGCAGGTCACCCACACCCGCTCGTCACCCCCACACCTGCAGGTCACCCACACACCTGCTCGTCACCCACACACCTGCAGGTCACCCACACACCTGCTCGTCACCCACACACCTGCTCGTCACCCACACACCTGCTCGTCACCCACACACCTGCTCGTCACCACCCACACCTGCTCGTCACCCACACACCTGCTCGTCACCCACACACCTGCTCGTCACCCACACACCTGCTCGTCACCCACACACCTGCTCGTCACCACCCACACCTGCAGGTCACCCACACACCTGCTCGTCACCCACACACCTGCTCGTCACCCACACACCTGCTCGTCACCACCCACGCATGCTCGTCACCCACACACCTGCTCGTCACCCCCACACCTGCTCGTCACCCACACACCTGCTCGTCACCCACACACCTGCTCGTCACCACCCACACCTGCAGGTCACCCACACACCTGCTCGTCACCCACACACCTGCTCGTCACCCACACACCTGCTCGTCACCCACACACCTGCTCGTCACCACCCACACCTGCTCGTCACCACCCACGCATGCTCGTCACCCACACCCGCTCGTCACCACCCACACCTGCAGGTCACCCACACACCTGCTCGTCACCACCCACACCTGCTCGTCACCCACACACCTGCTCGTCACCACCCACACCTGCAGGTCACCCACACACCTGCTCATCACCCCCCACACCTGCTCGTCACCCACACCTGCTCCTCACCACCCACACCTGCCTGCTCGTCACCACCCACACCTGCTCGTCACCACCCACACCTGCAGGTCACCCACACACCTGCTCATCACCCCCCACACCTGCTCGTCACCCACATCTGCTCCTCACCACCCACACCTGCCTGCTCGTCACCACCCACACCTGCTCGTCACCACCCACACCTGCAGGTCACCCACACACCTGCTCATCACCCCCCACACCTGCTCGTCACCCACACCTGCTCCTCACCACCCACACCTGCCTGCTCGTCACCACCCACACCTGCTCGTCACCCACACACCTGCTCCTCACCACCCACACCTGCCTGCTCCTCACCACCCACACCTGCCTGCTCGTCACCCACACCTGCTCGTCACCCACACCTGCT